GGCGAATATGAAGGGGAAGTAAGAATGATTGGGAAATGATCACTGTCATGTAAGTCCGGGAGAACAGACCAAGTGAAGTCTAATGCGGCGGAGGAAGAGCAAACAGAGATCGATGCAAGAGAGAGTATGAGTCCGAGGATCAAAATGGGTGTGAGTACCTGTATTTAAAACATGGAGGGGGTGGGTGGCAAGAAAAGCCTCTAACTGAATTCCACGGGAATCACAGTGAGACCCCCCCAGAGGAAATGGTGGGCATTAAAATCACCAAGTAACAGAATCGGTGGCGGTAATGACGAAACAAGGAAGGCAAAATCCGGAATAGATAATGCCCGAGAAGGAGAGAGATATAAAGAACAGAGCGTATACCACCTATGTAAGTGGATACGGGCTGCTGTGTAATGCAGCGAAGTATGAACAAATAGCTGATGGTACGGAATATCAGTGCGGAGAAGAAGGGCACTTTCATTAAAGGTCCCATCAGGAAAAGGATCTGAAGAATACAATAGATTATAGCCTGTGATGTGAGAAATAACAGCAGAGTGTAATTTTGGTTCCTGTAAGCAAACACCAACAGGGGCAAACTGGGAGAGTAACATCTGAAGCTCACCCCCATTACCCCTGAGGCCGCGTATATTCCACTGTAAATAGGCCATGATTGGCAATGATAAAGATACTTGAAATCCTCAGGTAAGGGTTCCTACGGACTAGAAGGGTTAGAAAAGTCCACATGCGGAGGCAGTGGAAAATGTTCAAGCAGCGAAGGAACGGTGCGCTGTGAAGAAAGGAGTTGCGCAGATGGAGCAGAGGAGAGAGAAAGAGCGGAAGGTGGATCAGTGTCCATTGATGGTTTGGTCTCTGCAATATATTCAGAGATTGCTTCAAGTGTTTCGGATTCAGAGATGTCGTATGGGAGACAATATTGGGAATGGTAGGGGGAGGATGAGTAAAGATGGAACTGTATTGGACTGTACCAAGGTAGGGGGGGGGGCAAAAGGATGGAGGGAACTGGAGAAGCGTGGCAGGGGACAGAAGAGGCAGGAACCTGGGAGGTGGCAGAAGAGGAAGAAACTTGGGAGGGAACAGGGGAGGAAGGTACATTACGAGGAGGAGGGTGAACCTCTGCACTTGTAACTGAGCCAGTGAGAGGGGAAGAACTAGGGACAGAGACAGGGAGGGTAAAATGAGGAGGTGGAAGATGGGTAGGAGGTGTTACCGGACCTTTTTTTTGACTTTTGAGAAGTAGAGGGACGATTGGGAGGTGTCGTACGAGGTCTCGTCGATACTGAGGCTTGTGAGAGAGAACTCGAAGAAGCGAGATTAGACTGAGGCATTGAAGTAGGGACGTCTGAGCCGAGGACAGCAAAAGGATTAGATACAGGAGTGATTATGGGAGAGGTAACCACAGAGGTGGGTGTAGAAGATGGGATACTAGAAGTGGGGGGACGTTTTGAAACACGGGAATAAGAAACACGTGGGAGTCTCCCTTGGAGGTGGAGATGAGAAACTGCCATGGCATAAGAGAGACCTTCTGTCTCTTTGAGGTAACGGATTTCCCGCTCGTTTAAATAGACCTGACAATGGCGAGAGTACGAAGGGTGAGCCTCATGACAGTTAAGGCAAGAGGGAGATCGATTGCAAGACGTATTAGAATGGTCATCGGCACCACAGACTGGGCATTCGGCGATAGATCTGCAATATTTCGCTGGATGGCCAAGTCGCCAGCAATTTCTACACTGTTGTGGTGTAGGGATCACCTTTCGAACTTGTAACCGATGTCCTGCTATATAAACTGAGGATGGGAGTTCTCGGCTGTCAAAAGTTAAACGAGCCACATTGCTAGGGTATCGTCTCCGCCCATGGGCAGGAAGAACGTAAGTGTCTACCTTGAGGATTGGGAGATCTTGGAGTTCCAGCTGTTCTAGAATGTCGGTGCCACATGTCTGGAAATTTTGTTGAACTATGGTATGGGGCAGAATGACGGTACCACTACAAGAATTGAGGGAATGATGTTTTTCAAGAGTGACAGGAACAGTATCGATATGGGAAAGACGAGAGAGCTCATGAGCCTGGGTAGCATTCTGTACGGTAATGATGCGCGTACCGCTCTTAAGAGCATGAAAAGAAATATCTTTACCAACATGGCGTAGGAGTGCCTTGCCAATACTATGGTCAGAAAGATAGGCAGTAGAGGAAGTTGGTCGTAAAGTGAAGAATTTAGTCCACTGTTCAGTCTGAAACTGAGCGTGGAAAGGTAGTGAAGGACGTGTCAATCGTTTCTGAGAAGAACGAGAAGGTGGAGAAGTATCATCAGCAGGTAATTGTCGTTGACGTTTAGGCGTGGGACCAGAGTTGGTCCGACGTGAAACGGGTCGGCGATTTGAAAATTGCCGCACCGTAGAGGGAGAGGCCGGAAGCATAGTCAGAGGAGAGCGAAGGTCCGATAAATCGAAGGAGTCAGTCGAGGCCTCAGTACCTGAAGCGGGTGAGGAAACAGCACCGGCAATAGGTACAGAGGCATGAGGAATGTCTGAAGAGTGGTCCAAAGACGAGGCGGGGTCAGAACGGGGTGCGGTATCAAGAAGGGGCCCGGGGGTACCAGGTTCATGGACTAGGGCTGCCATGGTTAGGTTACTTCTTTCTTTTTGTTTTTAAGAAAAAAAAAGAAGAAAAGAAAATAATAAAAAAAAGGGGGGACCGGGGAGGGATAGGTCCTAGGAGGAATGAAAGGGCCAGAAATCTCCCTCCGCGCCCAAGAGGACCTCAGCACCGCAAGTAGCGCAGATGCAGCATGGAACCCGTGCCATACCCTACCCATCATGCTAGTAAACTAACAATCCGGGATAGCAACCTCACATCTGCCGAGCTACCTCGGTGGACAAAAGAGAGGGCGGCCGGATATCCGCCACAAAGCATACCTCCTTCGGCCACCACCCCCGGAATCCGAAAGGTGGCTTCCAGAGATACACTCGTCGCCCGAAAGACACCCAAAGATACTCCGGGATACCGGAGAGGGATCGGGACATCCCCAGGCGATCCAGATTCCACGGCAAACTACGCCACCGCTAAGAACCTCAACGGAATGGGATGGACCCCGGTATCCTTTCTCCTACCTAGGAACTAGCGCGCCTGTGGGAGAAATCCCAAAGGACAAAAAGAGGAAGGGCAAAAGGGGAGGATGGGGAGGATGGGTTAGGGGAGGGGAGATTGGGGGGTAATTAGGTTCGGTCTGAGGAAGAAGACCGATAGGTCTAATTCCTCAGACCAAGAGCCTCTTCACCACGCCAAGGAGCCCCCCTTGAAGAGGAAAACGGATTGTAGACACTGGCACACTGGCTGTACATGGAGTCTTGGAGTGGCTGGACCTGCTTAGGCCGTGCTCCATCCCCATGGACAAGTTCGGGACGAACGTCGTTAGACGAGTTTTTCGCCATTGGTAGAGCCATTTTTTGTTACGCCAAAGAGCGCCGTTAGACGAATTTGCCATTACTTGATGCCGCCGTTAGTTGAGGGTTCACTGTATTTTTGTTTCTAACGTTGCAATTTTTCTGTTTTTTTGTGGTCACAGACATCAGGGGGTGCATAGTGCACCTTTAGCACTCATTGCAACAGGTTAAATTAAGGAATAAATGTTTGCAAAGTGAAAATTGTTAGGGGTACCTCTTATCACCATGCAGTTCAAAAATAAAACAGTAACAAATATGACAGGCTTACCAAGTGCCTTTGTACTGCATCATTTCTTGTCGAGTTTCGGCCGCAATCTGCTCCAGGAGCTAGGCCTAAACTTGAAACAGCCAAAAGACGAAGCAATATTTCCCACAAGAAATAATGTAAATAAAATCAATTTGTTCCAGACCCACAAAAATATTCAAAAAAATTTATTTTTTAAAGAATAACTATAGTTTTACATACACACAACACAGATAAATACATGTATATTATACAATACATAAATTACAATTTAAATAAACATTTAAAATAACATTTACTTACCTTTATTGAAGAGACTTGCTGGCATCTGGAAGATAGGGGGAGGACTTGTTTGGAAGGTAAATCCCCTTCCATAAAGACTTTAGGTAACAAGTCCTTATCTGGGGTTTTTTGCCTTTTTTGTCTTTTAAGGCCACTAGGACCAGCTTGAGAGTCACTGGACCCGTCGCACAAAATAACTGTCAAGAGTGCTCTGTATCTGGCGTCTAAGATTTCCCTGAAGAGGGACAAGGTTTTGTCACCGAACATGTTGCAGATATGGCTTGCTTCAGCTTGATCAGGGTGGTATTTTTCAACAAAAGTTTGCAACTCATTACACTTTGCACACTTTTCAGTCACAATTAAAGGCTGGCTGGCTGGATGCGAGTGCAAGGTAATGTTCACTCAAGGATAAACACTGCTAGACTGGCTCATGACGCCTGCATTGGGAGGCGCGCAAGCGCAGGTAGGTCGACACGTCTGGTATGTTGGCCGAAACCCGGGGCAACCGCCGAAATGCGGGACAAAATTTGGCCGAAAAAAGCGGCCAAAACCCGAAGCGGCCGATTCTCAGGGCGGCTGAAACCCTGGGTTTCGCTGTACTCTACAAATTTTTATTTTAGTCTCCACACAGTGGACCCGGCCAGGAATCAATTTTTCTCATCAATATTATAACAAAACGAAGTTATTTGAGGACCTGATGGATGGATGGGCAGCGGCAGTGGCTGCTGCTGATTGAAATTCATTTTGACAGTGGAAACTGTTAAAAGTTGAAAAATGATATGTTATTAATTTTACAATACAATGATCAGTGCATTGAAATAATGTGCAAAATTTTAAAACAAATTTCTTACAAGGCCTAAAGCTTATTCCAAGCTCACAAATGCCCAAAGTATTTTACCAATTAATAATTTTCAAACTCACAGATTTTACCTTTGCTGTCTTGGTATTACAGTCACCAATGAAATACTCCCAACAGCCATCTTGCTCTTAACAATCAACTGTTAATTCAAAGAAGGATATTAAAACAATGATTTTACTATATATTTACCACATGCTTGCATGTACAAAAAGACTTGATTGTGGTATTCTTAAAAATGATTTGTTATTGTTATAAATAGCATCATCTACAGTCCTATTTACATTTGCTTAATATCTTAATAATGTTTTTTAAGATCAGTCAGATGACCTATGACTGACATATGAAAATCAATATCTATAAATATATTTTACTTTCAAGTATTTATTTTTGTAAAATAATCAATGATAAACAATTGAAAGCCTCTACTTTTAATATATCCACTGACTATGCAGCCTAGGGATTTTCAAAAGGAGTACATTTGAAGTCTTTAAGCCATTTGAACATCCCTAATATTATCCATGATTTATAGCCAATATTCATGGAGTTATTGATGTGTAGCCAAACACCTGCTCAACTGCCTATTTGGCTTCACATCAATCTTGACACACATTAACTTTGTCTGACTTACAACAATAACACCAAACACAGTTTGCTGTACATAACTGACCAGTAATTTTTTTTTTTTTTTTGACTGACTATACTCTGGTTTGCAAGCTTGTCAAAACGTAGAATGCAATTGTGCTAAGAGATGAATGTTCATATTAAATGCCAAAGATAACATGTATTGCAATAGGGACAAAATAAAAAATGATCCTTACACCTATGTTGGCTATTATTTTGACCATGAATTAAAGGGAATAGTCAGGTTATTTAAAATAAATTGAGAAAATTGGATAAAAATATCACATTAAAGCTTAATGCATTCAAGCAAATATACTGACTTAGTAACTTGATGACAGCATTGTCAAGCATGAAAAGTGCATAACAGGATGGGCATCAAAAATAGTTCATTTTACAAAGCTCCTCACATTTGTGCATAACTTGAACATGGTCATCAAGCAATCTCTTGCAATATTTTCTAATTACTGTATAGTACTTCAATTTTATTCATATGCAACATTTTATCATTTTTTTTGTGCTTATTGCTTTTTTAAATTCAATCTGCTTTAACAATGTTGATATGAAAGATTATTGAGAGTAACCTACATTTTTTAAATTGCCAATCTGAAATTTGTAGATATATCTATATACGTATATATTACATAATAAAATTTATATTAATATTCTGCATTCTGTTGCCTTGAAATATACAAACATGTTAATGGTTATTTGAGAGATTAAATCTTGTATATCATGGGTTTTCTCCACTAACTGGGGAATATTTTTCTGTAAAATTTATTTTCCCTGTCAATTAGAAGACTATGAAAAGTCACATCTTTCCACATTTGAAAACAAATAAATTGTGTATTCATGAGTATCTAAACAATAGCACAACAGTTTCTTGACACTCAAGTTTCTATTCTATGTAACACTCAGGAAATAGTGAATATATTATTGCAGCTTCATTGGAAGTTCCACAAATAGTAAATTCATATACTTTTGTTGCTTTCAAATACTGTAATCACAATGAACATTCACTGTTTCAATCTCACTGCAAGACTCCCAATAGTACACAAGTTTCATTCCAAATATGAGATTCACAAATAAATCACTCCATGTTTCAAATGTCTTAGTCTGTTCACAGATTGGCCAACTGGGTTTCTGTTCCCATATTAAGAGACTGTGGCTGAGCAACTCTAATAGTAACAGGAGAGCCACCCATCACATTACTACGCTGGGCTAGGTATACTGGCTGCGGATGCCCCATTGGTGCAGAAAGACGAGGGTATAACCCAGGAACAATCCCAGGTGGCAGAGGTGGTTGATAAGGGGCAGAGTATGCTGGCGAATGGGAAGGCCCAGGTGGAGGGTAATGAGGCCCAGCATGGTATGGCCGATGGAGATGGGGAGGATGAGTATTAGAAGAGAGGTTGGTTGAGCCAGTGTTATTGGAGGGGCCGGTACTAGAATGTTGAGAACCAGAGTGGCCCGAAACACTGCCACTCAGAGCTCCTACCAGCCCCCCATTATCTAAACCCTGCCAAGACCGTAGGCGACCATGGATCTCCCTGCAATATAGATACACCCGCATTAATGTACTTGGTGTTAGTCTCCCCAGCCCATGAAAGTGAAAACTGGGGATAGTAATAGTAAAGTGTGTATTGCAACCTATTAAATAAACTATAAATACTGAATGAATGGATTACCAGGGCCAAACATAATACTATATTCACATCTCTTGCTATCTGTGCTAAATACCACTAACAAGGACATTTGAGTATATTTAATTTCTGCAACAATTTACACATACTGTATAACAAATCAGTACACAACTAGTTATGATTGAAATGAGAGATCATGTACAATTTCTTAATATTTGCCCTTGTTACTTTATATTTCCATTTTGACTCTTCACTACATCAACTTTTAAATCTCATTCACTTGTAAAGTTTAACTTCCATTCCATCAAAAGGATTAGACTATCTGTAAATTACATTAAGATTTCCTAATCTTTTAATTAAGCCAAATGACACTGACTCCTCTGGAGTCTGGTGCTGTTTGCAACCTGCTTGTTAAGGTCACCACAACCTTGCAAATTAGATCAATTCTGAAGAAATTTGACACATTCTAACTTAAAGTTATCTCCTGTGCTACCTGCAGTTATTTTAACATCGGCCACTATAGAATGACAAGTGATGGACCACAGGTTCCATTAGTGTTCCTGGTGATGCTGCCACTTGGGGTAGCTATAGTATATGGGAAAAAGAAAGCACCAGAGAAAGTACAGTTGCCCCTGCTTAACAAAAGCTTGCAAAACATAATTTTGAATAACAACCAAAAATACTCAGAGCTCTCCCACTTAGTGACCATTTCTCACTTCTACAGCCACTTTATACTAGGTCATTACCAACATATGAACACACACAGCATGCACTCCACATGCTAGCATGATGATTTTCTCACCAGCTGCAGTAGACTCACTTTCCAGCAATTGTTTTGATTCGTGAGAATTCACGAGGAAAAGTATGAACTGAATCAGACGGCATGTTCTGCAGCTTGTCCAAACATGTCTAATGCACGTGGTACCTTTAATATCATTAGATCCAAAGTATAATACAAACAAGCTGATGATTAAGACATCTGCAACACCTGGGTATCTTTATGAGAACAGTTTCACCTGCATAGCAGGCTTTATTAATCCAATACAGCTGCTGAGGATGGAAACTTTTATTCTGAAGCCAGCAGAAGAAGAAGCGAGATTCAGCAGTTGAAGACAGTTACGTGTAGGTGGGGCCTACTAGTGGAAACAGGTAGTCCAAAGGATGAATACATGAAAGATGTTTTCAAGGGTCAATGAACCTATTGATCAACAGCCTGATTGACTAGGCTGTGGCTGCAGGCAGCACAAAGTCCTATATACAAACCACAGCCTGGCCAATCAGGAAATGGCTTGAATTTATCAAGTTCCCTCTTGAAAACAACCAGGGGATTGTTGGTAATCCCCATTTATGTATGAAGGGGGGTGTTGAAAAATATCAGGCCCCTTTCACTTAGTGTGTTATCTCAATCTACCATTGGTACTGCTGCTTTTCATTAGGGTACATTAGGGTAATGTGAAGGACCTGGGATTGAAAATGTCAAGGATCTCGCCTTCAAAGACCACAACAATGTATCTATCGCATTTGCCAGTAAAATGAAAGGATGGATAACAAGAACCTTCAAAACTAGGGACGCCAAGCCCATGACGATTCTCATCAAATCGCTTGTTCTCTCGAGGCTGGAATACTGCTGTACACTGTCCCCTTCAAGGCAGGCGAAATTGCTGACCTGGAGAGTGTACAAAGATCTTTCACAACACACATAAGTATGATAAGGCACCTATATTACTGGGAACGGTTGAAGTCCCTTGATTTGTATTCCCTGGAATGCAGGCAAGAGAGAGAAGTGATAATATACACTTGAAAAATCCTAGAGGGATTAGTACCAAACTTGCACATGAAAATCGCCCCCTATGAAAGCAAAAGAATCGGCAGGAGATGCAACATTCCCCCAATGAAAAGCAGGGGTGCCACAAATACACAGAGACAACAGAATAAGTGTCAGGGGCCCAAGACTGTTCAACTGCCTCCCAGCACACATAAGGGAGATTACCATTAGACCCCTGGCTGTCTTCAAAACAAGGCACTGGACAGACACCTAAAGTCAGTACCTGACCAGCCAGGCTGTGGTTCATACTCAAGTTTCCATGCAGCCAGCAGTAACAGCCTGGTTAATCAGACCCTGATCCACCACAAGGCCTGGTCTCAGACCGAGCTGCGGGGGCACTGACCCCCGAAACCCTCTCCAGGTATACTCCATGTAAGCCTCTTGCTTTTTGAAGGAGTGATTTCTGCGTGTACATTTGGGACCAGTCCTCCTACGGTTTTCCAGGTATAACTTATGTCTCCATGGGGAAGTGGAACAGAATTCTTCCTCCATAAGCCAAGCATGTCATAAGAGGCAACTAAATTTAAAAGGAGAAACTTTAGTTTTTCCTTTTGGGTCACCCTGCCTCGGTGGAATATGGCCGGTTTGTTTAAAGAAAGAAAGAACTTCTGATGTACCTTTCTTGGCTGCATTCCCAGAAATACAGGTCGAGGGAGATTTTGCAATGTAATTATGGATTTGCAGAGAAGCAACTTAAGAAATGGTCATGTGGGCAGGGCTCACTAGTAGAACTATGTCATGCCCATCAAACTGGGCCACAGATTTAACAATGAGACTGAAGAAGATATTCTTTGAACAAAGATTCCATGTTATTGCTGTGTCTGACATGCTCATTAGATCAAAAGTATATTGTCAACAAGTTGATGATAAAGCCTGCAGTGCAGGCAAACCACCTCTCAATACAACCAGGTGTTGCATGCATGTCTAAGACATCAACCTGCTGGTATTTTACCTTTGATATAATAATACTTATCTGACAGAGTAACACCATGGAATCTTGGTAGAGAGAATATCTTTTACAACTTCACTGCTAAATCAAGGGCCCACTTGATGTACATGACCTATTCCATTAGTGGGCCCCACCCACATGTAACCATGTCTTCAGCAACTGCATCTCATTATCACCTCTACTGGCTTCAGTATAAAAGCTTCCATCCTCATGTCAATGCATCAGATGGATAAAGCCTGCTGTGCAAATGAACACTCTCTCAATAAAGCTACTTGAGTGTTGAACATACATCTTAATTTTTACCTTTCATTTTACCTAATATTAGCACTAAGAAACCAAGTGATAAGAATAGTATTGATGCAAAGACTAAGTACATTACTCAAGATTGGAAAGTCAATACTTTTGGCATGCTAGTGAGAAGGCATGTGATATGTAAACATCTGGCCTGGCTAAATCCTCCATCTTGGGTAAAAATGAGAGTTGCAGAAAGTGCTGGCTGTGCAAATCCTGTTACTGATGGTATAGTCACTCATAGACTGCATAAGCTGGTGGAAGATATGGAGAGGCATCTAAGAGTGGAGACTGAGCGCCAGACACAGTAAAACATTCCACTTAACACCTTAACACACTGATTCTTCATTCTTCCTCAACTAACATGAGTAGATGCTGGCTTCATGAATACTATATATACCTTTATTAAACAATTCATCTATCTCTGGCAAATATTATATACATGTTGATTCTCTGAACTATTTATCTACAGTATTATTTTTTTGTAATTTCATCATTAAAAACTAACAGGAATTGGATATGTAATATTATTGACAAGCCTGGCCCATGGCCAGGCTCTGGGAATAGAAACTCTCAAAACTCATCAAAGGTAAAGGTATATCAGTCTGCATCTAAAGTTATAACACAGGCTTCTATAGGACAATGTGATTTGCGTAACGTATTTTCGCATAACGAACCTCTTTTCCGATGCTTATCTAGGTCATTAAGCAGGGGCCGACTGTAACTGAAAACACAGTACTGCATTGTAATACCACATATATATTTACAACAGGCTGCATAAATACTTTTTGTATAAATCTGTGGCTTATAGTGTTTGCTCTGAGACTGACTAAACACAAGTTAAAGTGACTATCTTTTTGAAAGTAGCTGAAATTAATAAATTTAGCAGCATTACCTGCTTTTTGTTTTACCTTTTTATTTCCAGAAAATTACTGTTATCTAGGTATAAAACAAGCTACAGTATTCTTCTAAGTTTTGTTTCCATATCACTTGCTAGGATAAGACATTAGCCAAATATTGTTTGTTACATATTTGAGGTCCAACACATAAAATTACTTCATAAAACAAAAAGAAATTTGCCCAGGTGCTTAAGAATATTCTGTACCTTCAGATCATTTTTCTAAAATCATAAACCACAGTGCAATACCGTTATCTCAGACCGTCAAGGTTGGGAACATTTCAAGTTTGCAATTTGTTTAACTAGACAAGCAAGGTCAACAGTCCACAAATAAATATTAAAAAAAATGGGTATAATATGTACTACTACAGTGGACCCTTGACCAACGATGGCATCGTCTAACGTTAAATCCGACTAGCGATACATTTTAACGCTAACATTTTGCCTCGACTAACGCTAAAAAAACTCTACTAACGATATTCGTTCTCGGGTACCAATTAATATCGTTAGTCGAGGGTCCACTGTATTTACAATTAAAGCTTAGTTTAAACGTTGCAGCAAGTAGGAGGCTGGATGCAGTGGTCATGTCAAGTTTGTGGGCGATGTATGGTGTGAATGTTAGGTAGAGAATTAGGAGTGTGGAGATAGGATGATGAAGTGAGGTTACCAAGAGTATAATTCAGAAAGCTGAGGAGTGGTTGCAATGTGGTTTGAGAGGATAAAGAATAGGACTAAGAGGGAATATAAATGTGGGGGTGAAGGAAAGAGGGCAAGGAGTCATCCCAGGAAAAGTTGGAGTGAAGAGGTAAAGGTTTTCAGTGTTAGGGGCCTGAACGTCCATGAGGCAACTGTGACAATAAATGTTAGAGCACAGTAAAGACAAATGGTTAGCCGGACTTGAGTCCAGGTGGTGGAAAACACGGTGTCTGTACCCTAAAGGTGGTGTAAGGATGGTTCAGTTTAGAGGTCAGCACACTTATGGCAAGAAAAAGGTTGAGTAAATGATGGTAAGTGTGTTGCCTCTCTTTCTGGGTCACCCTAGTTCAGAGGGAGACCACACATAGTTAAAAAAAAAAAAAAATTGAAAATCTGAAAATTGTATTTTACATAATTGGAATGTGTGGGTTGCATGAACAGTAAGACTATGGCAGTGCTCCTCTATTATCAAGTTCTTTAATTTAGACCTAAACTTTCCACAACAAATTTGGCCTTAAAACCTCAACTTACACTCAAGTACTGGTACTTTTTTTTTTTTTATGTGGCATTTTTTGGCAAAATCTCTTGTGAAATGTACTTTTCTTTATGACATTTATTTTAGCTACCTGGTAAGTGAATGATCTTAAATTGAAAACTAACCATATGCTCACACTAATTCCCACACCCAAATCTGTTTTCCCCATGGTCATTCTTTCATATGAATGTCAATATTAACCAGATTAGCACAGTATGTAAAAGTGTGTACACTAACAAAAAATGGAATTAAATTTATTTAAAATCTATTAGTTATGAAATACTTGTTTTCCAAATAGAAAGTTATATAATTCACTTAAGGCTGACCCCATAACCTTAGCTCTCTTCTTGAGGTTCCAATTGTCAATGCCCCTATAGCCCATAGTTCAAATATGCACCCAGCAGAATGAAATGCTGAAACTTGTGCTTATCACGTGGTTGACCAATTAAGGTGCAGTGAATCACAGAAAATACAGAATAATACTAAGATAGCATAAGCTTCCCTCTCACAACCCGCAAGATTTTTCACACTGATTCAATGCATCCAAGATACTAGCCATTTACAATGTAATGCTGATGGAAGCAATGCCTATAAGTTGTAACTCAAGACAAGTCTGCTGTAGCGGTGTTGCACTGTATGGTCAAAATGCGTTGAGTGATACTGAAAACTAACCAAATGTATTAATTAACCAAAATGACTACTTTACCCAGTTTAAGGGGCATGCATAAGTTTAAGGACTTTATTCTTCTAAAATTACTTAATGCTAGAATGATGTTAGTAAGCCTGTCAAGAAAAATTATATCAACACCAGTAAAGAAAATTGAGGACAAATATTATAAAAACTAAGAAAGAGAGAGAGATACACACATACATACATCATTATTACCCCATTTCCCACTTTCATGGGGTGGGGAGGCACTCGCCCAGAAAGGATGGCAAAGCACTGTAAGTAAACAGAGTTAAAGGTAATAGAAATAATGCAATAAACACTAATCAATGAAAAAATCATATACAAATAAAGAAAATTCTTTCAATATGATATTCATACTTATTAGCACCAGAGAAATTAGTACATACTGGGCATAAATATATAAATTCATGCAAACACACAAATAGATCTCATTACACAAACACACAACAACTACAGAAATAAATAAAAACACAAATTTAGATATTTTTTTGTAGTGAAAATCTAAAACATCTAATATGAGTGAGGAACTACATAATATGCATACTAATAGAACCATGAAAATACACTTGCAATCAAGGCTTTCAATTACCATATAAAGAAACAATATTGGATAGCCTATGAGGCTGCAATGACAAACAAATGGTCAACCAGATTCCTAAATATATATGTCTTTTTTTATGCATCAGCACACTAAAGATACGAGTAAATGGAGAAGACAACACATTATCAATACTAGACTTCAGTACTTACTAGGAATGGGATAACGAAATTTCAGCAGATACTGGTATCAATACTCAATTTTAGGCAGCTACTGATACCAACATCCTACTAACTCGTCCTCTGCCAAATCTAGCCTTCAGAGACGCTGTCTTATTGAAGCATCCCTTATACATGCACAACTTTCCTAACATGAATCCTAGTCCTGGCTTTGTCTCTGCAGATGCCTTCCTTTCTCATTACACTGTTAAATGCTCCATACTTCAGAACACTTGTGACTTGACCTGATCTTCTCCGTTCCTGTATTTTCAATGCCCGTCCTGTCTTTTGCCTAGGTGGGTTCTGTCCAATGGCATTTTGTCCTGCTCAGATTTGGTCCTACTCTTTTGGGCCAATAGCTCTCCTGCAGCACTCCTTTTCTCTTGTTACAGACCATCTCTATTACTTCTAATATTCCTACTGCTAAGTCTCCACCCTCTGACCCTTTTTTTTCACTACCACTGCTACATTCTTATTGCTACCTTTACTGCAGGGACAGCGTCGTGGAGTTCAATTCACTAGGCAGCTGTCAGGTGTGCCACAGGCAGTGTGCAATCAGTTCCTCAAGCTTCAACATCTGTGCACACAGTGGGTGTCTGGGCACCTGGAGGGCTCTAGGTGGAAACAACCAACACCCCCTCCCAGCAGACAGAGGTGACAGCTGCCGTGCCTTCACCTTCACAGAGGGCCTGGGATCTTCAATCAAACTGGTGTCCACAAGGACGTTGACACGTCCCCAGGGCAGCTCTCCCTCGGGCTGCTAGTGGAGTCACTGGCCTCTTGGGGAGGGTCAATGGTGCTCCTGCAAGCAGCAGTTCCTGGTGCAATTTGCCGCTGTTTGCAATGGCTGTCTTTTGTCCTGCCGTGGAGGGACAGGCACCTAGCAATGTTTTATAATTGCTCATTACTCTAATTTGTTAATGAATGTAACCATGTATTAATGTGTTTATGATTCATTACCTTTGAAACTTATCATGATTGTGACCAGCTCTACCTGGAGCTCATTACCTTGTAACTTGGTCATGATTGTGACCAGATCTAGTTCATTACCTTTGTAACTTGCTCAGCTATCAAAACTTTGAAGTCCAGTCTCTGGACCAATTATGTACCTCTGTAATCTTTTGACTACCGCCCACAGGATGGGTATGGGGTGCATAATAAACAACTACCTCTACCACTGTTCCACTACTTTTTCTACTACTACTACTACTATTCTTTTCTATTATACTACTAGAATCCCCCAAACCACTCTAACATTCTGGCTCCCTGCCCTTCACCTTTGTCTCACTAGTTATGGTAATAGTCCAAGTTGGATCGAAATGTAGTATAGACCCAGACGTCTGACAGTACAAAACTAAATTCAGAGAGCACTCCACAAAATAATCATGATATTTTTCAGCCATAGGTACAAGGGAATATGTAAGACTGCAAAAGTGAAAAATAGGGAACATGGGGAAAAAGTTCATAAGCAATTCTAGAGAAGAAGGAAGCCCACAAAGGCATGAAAAGGGGAGTAAAAAGAATTCAAATTTGACATAGTAATCAAGGCAAAGACAACCAACGATGCCAAACAGGCACACGAGAAGAAAAACTGAAACAATCCGATGATGAGAAACACTCATGAGAAACGACAGAAAGGCTGGCAATGAACTTAACAGAAGATTCCAATGTTTTTACAAACATGTAAGACTCAGTTGCAGTTAGAAGTTAAGAAAAATTAAGTGATACTATTAAAATGCCAAAATGACTAACAAGGATGGAGAAAGAGTCTACACGGAATTCAACACAAAACAAAGAGACACAGTGGAACATTCCCAACAGAGTGGTTTCAGAAAGAGAGAATCAGAATCATGATTTACAAACCTTACAATGATATATGAAAAGACTGAGGGAAAAGTGACTTGCATATTTGCAGTCTGGAAGAAAGCTTTTATTGGTAGCAGAAAGACAAGTCCAAATAATTTAGTAAACTGGAGACTCAAGCCAAGGAAATAAGAAAGATATTAGCCTGGATAAGGCTGCATTGAGCCCTTTATTATTCCTTGTTTTGCAGATGTTAAAATAATGAGAAGAATGTAAACATGGGAGGATAGCAGCCTTCTTCAGGTATGCAAACAAATGGTTACTTGAGTTTATCTCCAGCAAAAGCAAAGTGATGAAGTTGGCAGGCAGGAAAGAATGAAATCAAATACTGAGTATCAAACTGGAAAATAGGCTTATAGAAACTATTACAGAAAAGAATTAAATAATATCCATTTCCCCAAATCTGTCCTCCAAGGCATACGAACAAATTAACATCAGCAGTATAGTGGAAGGGGATATAATAAATGCCATGGCACAGACAGGGTACACAGATACTGCAGCACGTGCACTCACAACACAATCCCCACACGCACATGCACAGCCTCTCATACGCACAACCTCTCACACTCCCACACAAACACAACCCCTACACACAAAGAGACACACAGCCCCACACATACGCACCTCTCTCACTTTCTTAGGTGCTTTTAATGACCCACACTGTAGTGGGGTTTAAACATACATGCTTAGCACCATCACATCACCCTAGATAGTTTGCCCACAAATGCATTAAACTGAACATTTTTCCCATCTAATCAAGCATAAATATTTAAGTTAAAAACCTAAGTGAAACAAAATGTCAATAAGATATACTCAATAAAATAAGGCTAAATTAGCAATTATCTTGCAACAGTATCATGAGACCTCTTACCTGAAGGTTGGTCTTCTATTTGGAGTTTCATGCCAACACTCCACCATGAGGGCATATATACGTGGTGGGCAATCCTCAGGGCATGGCAACAGATGGCGTGACCTGATCATGTCTATCACTTCTTGGTTATTATAACCATAATATGGCTGAAATAAGTGGGATTTATCCAATATTATTATATTCAAGGGGAAACTCTAACCTTTTAAAGTCATATATTCAGAGCTTGAGGAATAAGAGGTAATTAGATATGATCTGAGGAAGGGGAAGGTAGCTCTAACTCCTAGAATCCAGAGCCCTTCACCAGCATCAAGGCACACCCTTGAATAAATATATCAAATAACTCTGGAATATGCTAATGTATTTACAGACCATTTTAGAATACTTATGCCAATAACATTAATACAGAATGCATTTTTGTCTATCTTCGAAACACTCTCATGAACAAATTAATGTTGCATGCAACTCACCTGTAAACCATAGCTGAATATTTCCCATAGCACAACACCAAAACTCCAAACATCTGACTCAGTGGTAAACTTGCCATACAAGATCGACTCTGGAGGCATCCATCTTACTGGCAGTAGACTCTTACTCTGAACTCTGGTATAAAAAACAAACATTTCAGTCAGGTGATAAGTGTGGAAGTTTAAAATAAATAACATTATTCAGGGAAATAATGACTGATATCAAAGGCAAGAACAATCTTGTGGTCAAATTTATCAACCCAGAACACAAATATTTCAACTATGATAATACAGCACTATACACAAGTAAACCTTATATTTTAAATAAAAATTAAAATGTTGCATTAATACATTATGGTTTCTATAAGGTATCAATGTGTATCAGAATAAGAAATCATATATCTATACTGCAAAGGCAAACCTAAAACTTGCTAATTTAGTTGCTGAGTACTCTAGTAAAAGGAAAAATTCACTGATAAGTTATACAACAAATTAACTTAGGCAAAAATATTACAATTCAAATTTACTCAACATAAAAATGCTTAGCCAATGGAAACAATAATGTATGACATCAGTTACTGTCCAAAAGAAAACAACCCCACATATGCCTTTTGAAGAAATGGAGATCAAATGTGTCAGGGAAGACTTGATGGTAGCATCACATTCAAGGAATATCAACAGTTATAATACCTGAGAATCAAGGACTGTAGTGTTAATATTCAATGCTCATATACGAAGAGCAGCTACATAATAACTTGCAAGTTCCTGAGAATAAACGCCAAAGAAATGCTATAGGGAATGTAAGTTTGTGCAAGGCTAATAAATGAAGATCATGTGCAAGGTCAGGTACAATGCTTTTCATATTAATTGCATTAAGAAAACTGGTGAAAGGGATTTCCTTAGAACTGTAGGGTGAACAAGACTACTCTATTTGTCTACTTGGTGGACATCAAGTGTTGACAGTTTTATTTTTATTTTATTATTATTATCACACCGGCCGATTCCCACCAAGGCAGGGTGGCCCGAAAAAGAAAAACTTTCACCATCATTCACTCCATCACTGTCTTGCCAGAAGGGTGCTTTACACTACAGTTTTTAAACTGCAACATTAACACCCCTCCTTCAGAGTGCAGGCACTGTACTTCCCATCTCCAGGACTCAAGTCCGGCCTGCCGGTTTCCCTGAATCCCTTCATAAATGTTACTTTGCTCACACTCCAACAGCACGTCAAGTATTAAAAACCATTTGTCTCCATTCACTCCTATCAAACACGCTCACGCATGCCTGCTGGAAGTCCAAGCCCCTCGCACACAAAACCTCCTTTACCCCCTCCCTCCAACCCTTCCTAGGCCGACCCCTACCCCGCCTTCCTTCCACTACAGACTGATACACTCTTGAAGTCATTCTGTTTCGCTCCATTCTCTCTACATGTCCGAACCACCTCAACAACCCTTCCTCAGCCCTCTGGACAACAGTTTTGGTAATCCCGCACCTCCTCCTAACTTCCAAACTACGAATTCTCTGCATTATATTCACACCACACATTGCCCTCAGACATGACATCTCCACTGCCTCCAGCCTTCTCCTCGCTGCAACATTCATCACCCACGCTTCACACCCATATAAGAGCGTTGGTAAAACTATACTCTCATACATTCCCCTCTTTGCCTCCAAGGACAAAGTTCTTTGTTTCCACAGACTCCTAAGTGCACCACTCACTCTTTTTCCCTCATCAATTCTATGATTCACCTCATCTTTCATAGACCCATCCGCTGACACGTCCACTCCCAAATATCTGAATACGTTCACCTCCTCCATACTCTCTCCCTCCAATCTGATATTCAATCTTTCAGTTTTATCTATGTTTATTGCACATTACGTACCTCCCATATAATTTCCTCAATAGTGCTGTAGGGACGTAACCTCAAAGAATTTGCAAAATACAGTACAGTCGACCCTCAACTAACGGCGGCATTAAGTAACGGCAATTTCGTTTAACGGCGCTTTTTGCCGTAGAAAAAATGCCTTAACCAACGGCAAAAAACTTAACCAATGACGTTCGTCTGGAACATGTCCTGAGTGGGCCCAGCCACTCCAAGACTCAGTGTGCCATTGTTTACAAACTGTTGCAGTCGGTTTCCACGTGTGCCTCCCATACATTTTGGATTATTCCACTGTTTCTAGTGCTTGTAACTGCTAAATAAGCCACCATGGGCCCCAAGAAAGCTTCTAGAGCTAGCCCTTTGGTAAAGGATGTGAGAAACACGATAAGAATTCAAGAAAAAGTTTGTAGAAAAATATGAAAGTGGTGGCGGTAGAGGGTGGTAGCGATGGTGGTAGAGGGTGGTGCTAGTTGTAATGGTGGTAGAGGGTGGTGCTAGTTGTAATGGTGGTAGAGGGTGGTACTGGTTGTGATGGTAGTAGAGGGTGGTAGTGATGATGATAAAGGGTGGTAGAGGGTGGTAGTGGTTGTGATGGTGGTAGTGATGGTGGTACTGGTTGTGATGGTGGTAGAGGGTGGTACTGGTTGTGATGGTGGTAGAGGGTGGTACTGGTTGTGATGGTAGTAGAGGGTGGTACTGGTTGTGATGATGGTAGAGGGTGGTACTGCTTGTGATGGTGGTAGAGGGTGGTCCAGTGATTCTCAAGCTAGTCCTAGTGGCATTAAAAAACCAAGAAGGGAGGTAACCCCACCAAAAGACTTGGTACCTGGAGTCTTTATGGAAAGGGATTCTCCTTCCAAGCAATAGACAATCCTGAATCTCCCCTGCTGCTGGCACATCACTCATCAACAACTCCACAATAAAGGTAAGTGACATTTAATTATTGTTTATTTTGCATGTCCCATTCCTTTCCATATAAGAAAATGCATATTTCATGTAAAAAAATTTTTTTTTTCAGACTTTGGAGTGTCAGGAACAGATTAATTCTATTTCCATTATTTCTTAGGGGGAAAATTAACTCAACCAACGGCAAGCCCTCTGGAACGGATTAATGCCGTTGGTTGAGGGTCCACTGTATATAGCATTTTAGGTGTAAAGAATAAAAAGGCACAAAACCCTGACTGGAACAATACACAAATAGCCCCCACTTAGGAGACTCACTCATGACGACATTTCAATCAAACTTGGACCATTAAGCCTTTGACTGTCACAACCCCAAATCCTGGTGTCAAAAAATTTTGGAAAAAGAAAAATATTTTTTCTTATGAAATGATAGAGAATCTTTTCCCAATGGTAATGACACCAAAAGTACAAAATTTTATCAAAAACTTATGGAATTACACTCCCGCGAAGTTAGCGATCTCGGCGGTATACACATCAGCAATTTCGTCGAATCTGAGCCCGATTTTCAGCCAATTCCATTGTTCCAGTCGACCAAACTCATAGCTATTTTTTTAGAATTCCATTTTTTCTATCAATTGAGTATAAGAAACCGCCCATTTACCGATTTCAATTACCCAATAAAGTGGTCAGAAATTGACAATTTGGCCAAATTCATGCAAATTAAAAAAGATGCCAATTTCAAAATAGGGTCCAGAATAAACAATGCAGACACTCTTGGCACTAAAATAACATCCTCTGTTCATTATTCACATCTCCAGGCCCCTCTTGCTTTCTATTTTGATTTTTTATTCACACAAAAAAATAGAAGATTTACTGTTCTGCAGACTACTGCATTATTGTAAAAAATGGTATAAATAATATCAGTGCACTAGTGAAAAAATATTAGACTCCCCAGTTGACGTGTATTGGACGTGTTGTGTGATTTTCTTACTCCTGAACATTGGTAAAAATCGAACATTTCCGCTACTTTGAGCTCAATTTCAAGGTCCTTTTCACTCTGAAACTAGTCAAAATCATATCTATTTCTGTAATATGGTTTCCATTCTATTAAATGAGACTAAGAAAATGAGAATACAACCATAAATACTATAGGAAAATACACCTCAGTCGGCATTTTAATCCATAAACACTGAGTTTTTTTTTTTCTCTCATTATGCACTGCGTGCTGCAGGATTTTTTTTTATACAGTGCACACTGACCACGCAGACCCATTCTCTGACATGTGGGCCTACCAGCTTTCTCCCGCTTGATTTGAAGCCGCTAGAATTTTTTTTTTTTTTTTTAAACAAGTCAGCTGTCTCCCACCGAGGCAGGGTGACCCAAAAAGAAAGAAAATCCCCAAAAAGAAAATACTTTCATCATTCAACACTTTCACCTCACTCACACATAATCACTGTTTTTGCAGAGGTGCTCAGAATACAACAGTTTAGAAGTATATACGTATAAAGATACACAACATATCCCTCCAAACTGCTAATATCCCGAACCCTTCCTTTAATGTGCAGGCATTGTACTACCCATTTCCAGGACTCAAGTCCGGCTATATAAAATAACCGGTTTCCCTGAATCCCTTCACTAAATATTACCCTGCTCACACTCCAACAGCTCGTCAGGTCCCAAATACCATTCGTCTCCATTCACTCCTATCTAACACGCTTACGCACGCTTGCTGGAAGTCCAAGCCCCTCGCCCACACAACCTCCTTTACCCCCTCCCTCCAACCCTTTCGAGGACGACCCCTACCCTGCCTTCCTTCCCCTACAGATTTTTACACTCTCCATGTCATTCTACTTTGATCCATTCTCTCTAAATGACCAAACCACCTCAACAACCCCTCTTCAGCCCTCTGACTAATACTTTTATTAACCCCACACCTTCTCCTAATTTCCACACTCCGAATTTCCTGCGTAATATTTATTACTAGAATTATTTAGTATATATACGTCTGAAACACTGGCTTGTAAGACGTATATATACGGCTGAAACAGTCAAAGGGTTAATTAGTCACACATTAACTAATCTCTGACTAATTAATGGTCCAAGTTGGACAAAACATCATAAGTCTCAGTCTCCTAAGTGTGGGTTAACTGTGTATTTTAAATATTCTGCTGATTGTAGGACAGTAAATGATTTCTGCATATTTTCTAGATCAGCTATCTTATCTGCTTGAATAGAGGATTTTATAACCCATCAGATCACTTTCCTGACTGACACTATGTTTACTCTGGTGCACTCCCTAAATGTCAGTTTGACACTGTTCCACTAATTATGGAAAGCTGTTTATTCTGGTAAACAACGAAGTCAGAAAATGAACACAGTATGTAGTTTCGATTTAAAAAGTACAAGAACCCAATGATAATTCATTGCTTTGAACAAATATATGATGACATTATCAATTTATTACTATCCTTAACAATTTCCCATCTTCATTACCAACTTACTCAAGCATGACTAATTTGTCATATTACAGAAATCATCACAGTCTAATTAAAACTTTTCAAAGTCCATTACTTGCATTCCACAATCCATATCGACCATTTTATCTGTTATAGGCTATGTCATATAACAAACTACTGCTGCTTTCAACAAACCGGCTGTATCTCATATTGGCAGGGTGGGCCAAAAAAGAAAAACAAAAGTTTTTCTTTTTAAATTTAGTAATTTATACAGGAGAAGAGGTTACCAGCCCCTTGTTCTCGGCATTTTAATTGCCTCTTACAACACACATGGCTTACAGAGGAAGAATTCTGTTCCACTTCCCCATGGAAATAAGAGGAAATAAAGAAGAACTAGTAAGAAAACAGAACAAAACCCAGAGAGGTATGTGTATACATATGCTTGTACATGTATGGCAAGACAGAATGTAGGATTGCGGATGAGCAAGGAGGTTTTAGAGTTTGTAGGGGATGTGTAGATCAAGTATTTACACTGTAGCATATATGTGAAGAGTATTTAGGTAAAGGTAGGGAAGCTTTCATTGCATTTATTGCATAAATTGTGAACAACAAGGGGTCCAACACTGACCCCTGTGAAACACCGCTTGTGACGTGCCCCCATTCTGATTTCTCTCTATTTGTGCAAACTCTCTGCTGATCTGTCAACCATGCCTCTACCCAGGAAAAAATTTCTCCTATTCAGTGTGCCTTAAGTTTCCTTAATAGCCTCTGGTGTGGAACTCTATCGAAAGCCTTACTGAAGTCCATATACACAATATCATGTTCAATACCATGATCTACCACCTCAAATACCTTAGTGAAAAAGTTAGTAAATTTGTAAGACATGAATGTCCCTTTGTAAAACCATGTTGAGATTCATTAATCAATTTATGCCTTTCAAGATGGTTACGAACTGCCTCGGCAATTACTGATTCCATAAATTTTCCCACTATGGAAGTAAGGCTTATTGGTCTATAGTTCGAAGCTAAGGACCTGTCACCTGCCTTGTAAATAGGTATTACATTTACCATTTTCCACTTATCTGGCACTATGCCAGTTTGTAGTGATATGTTGAAAAGATTAGCCAAAGGTTTGCTAAGTTCTTCTTTACATTCCTTTAAAACTCTTACAAACAATTCATCAGGGCCTGGGGATTTGTTAGGTTTTAATTTCTCTATTTGTCTGACGACCATGTCGCTAGTTACTCCAATCGTGCATAGTTTATTATCGTCCTGTTCTACACAATTTATTATTTCAGGAATATCGCTAGTATCTTCCTGGGTAAAAACTGAGTGGAAGTAAGTATTGAAAATTTCTCACACATCCTTATCACTGTCAGTGATCTGAACTGAGTTACTCTTAAGTGGGCCTATCTCGTCCCTAATCTTACTTCTGTATACCTGAAAGAACCCCTTTGGGTTAGTCTACGAGTCCCTTGTGACCTTAGCCTCATAATCCGTTTTAGCTTTTCTTATTCCTTTTTTTACTTCTCTCTTTACCTGAATATACTAATTTCTTAACTCCAATCTCCTCTTTTGATATTCCTATATATGCCTCTCTTATTATTCCAATAAGGTGAGATAAAACATGATATTGTCATCCAGTTCCCAAGCCAGACTGTTGACTTGCTCCTCAGTGCCAACCAAAAGGCCATACAAGACACTGTCAAGTAGGGGTGGCTTGGTTCAAAGATTAAGTAATACTATAATATAATAAAAAAAAATTAAGGAGAAAACTATGCTTTTAATAACATCCTGCAAAAACACCCATTTCTCAACCATGGGCACAGTTAATCTTGTCACAGAGTTTCTAATATTTACCCACCTGTAATAATCAGAGGAATAGATGTCACGAGAGAGCCCAAAATCTGAGATTTTGACAGTGAGATTCTCTCCCACGAGACAATTACGAGACGCAAGATCACGGTGGACATAATGATGACCAGCCAGGTATTCCATACCTAATGAGTACAACATAGTGCATTGTTTAAAAGATAAATGAATCTGCCTGCAATATACAATTCTTAGTCCCTCAAAATTAATATATCAAAGCATTAATGGCATACAATATTGACAAGTTGATGAATAAGGTATGTACAACACATAGGTATCTTTATGTTGAAAATGTTTTGCCAACCAGTGGTACTTTCCAAATCAAGAGGGATTGATGAAACCTCTTCAGAATAAAAAATATCCAGTTGTTGCATATATGTCTTACTCATCAAAAAATTAATGACATTTTTATAGTTTTCTAGCCATAATTTAAAACTACAATAGGAATTAGGCAATCATGGCATGTAATTTAGCTACCAGTATTATTATCCATAAAACCTTGTTTAGAATCTGAAATTACACTAGTATTTAGTATTCCAATAAGTCATCCATATTACAATATGATACCAATTAATAAAACTGCAATCACTGAAATCTCAATCCATTTTTATCTCTAATAAATTCAAATTTCAGATGGTAAACCTACTCGCTGTAAGTCATACTAAAGTGAACACAAATACTTAATATACTTTACTGTATAAACCATATTGAATACATACCAATCAACCATTAATTCTTTTTTCACATATACTAAAAGACAAAATTTTAACTGTGGCCATTTCCCTGCAAGACTGGAATACGTAAATAAGAAAAATACTTTCAACAACGCTCATTCTCTCCTTGAATTTTCTATAAGAACCTAGACAGCAATCCAGTGAAGGCTCACTTTCCTAGTGCAGACATAACAATATTTCCTCAATTTTATTTATTAACACATCGGCCGTCTCCCACCAAGGTAGGGTGGCCCAAAAAAGAAAAACTTTCATCATCTTTCACTCCATCACTTCTTGCCAGAGGCATGCTTACACTTACAGTTATAAAACTGCAACAGCAACACCCCTCCTTCAGAGTGTAGACACTGTACTTCCCATCTCCAGGACTCAAGTCCGGCCTGCCGGTCTCCCTGAATCCCTTCATAAATGTTACCTTGCTCACACTCCAACAGCACGTCAAGTCCTAAAAACCATTCGTCTCCATTTGCTCCTATCTAACATGCTCATGCATGTTTGCTGGAAATCCAAGCCCCTCGCACAAAAAAACTTTACCCCCTCCCTTAACCTTTCCTAGGCCAACCCCTAGCCTGCCTTCCCTCCACTACAGATTTATACACTCTCGAAGTCATTCTATTTCCTTCCATCCTCTCTACATATCCAAACCACCAACAACCCCCTCTTCAGCCCTCTGGACAATAGTTCTGGTAATCCCACACTTCCTCCTAATTTCCAAATCATGAATTCTCTGCATTATATTCACACCACACATTGCTCTCAGACATGACATCTCCACTGCCTCCAGCCTTCTTCCTGTTGCAACATTCACCACCCATGTTTCACACCCAAATAAGAGTATTGGTATAACTATACTCTCAAACATTCCCCTCTTTGCTTCCATGGACCAAGTTCTTTGTCTCCACAGACTCCTAAATGCACCACTCACCTTTTTTTCCCTCATCTTTCATAGGCCTGTCTGCTGACACATCCACTCCCAAATATATGAATACATTCTCCTCCTCCATACTCTCTCCCTCCAATCTGATGTCCAATCTTTTGTCACCTAATTTTTTTTATCCTCATCACCTTACTCTTTCCTATATTCACTTTTAGTTTTCTTCTTTTACATACCCTACCAAACTCATCCACCAACCTCTGCAACTTCTCTTCAGAATCTCCCAAAAGCACAGTGATATCAGCAAAGAGCAACTGTAACAACTCCCACTTTGTGTTAGTCTTTATCTTTTAGCCCCATGCTTCATTCACTTCTCTTACAACCCCATCTATAAATATACTGAACAACCATGATGACATCACACATCCTTGTCTAAGGCCTACTTTTACTGGGAAATAATCTCCCTCTCTCCTACATACTCTAACCTGAGTCTCACTATCCTCATAAAAACTCTTCACTGGTTTCAGTAACCTACCTCTATTCCATACATTTGCAACATCTGCCACATTGCTCCCCTATCCACCCTGTCAAACACCTTTTCCAAATCCATAAATGCCACAAAAACCTCTTACCCCTTATCTAAATACTGTTCACCTATATGTTTCACTGTAAACACTTGGTCTACACACCCCCTACCTTTCCTAAAGTCTCCTTCTTCATCTGCTATCCTACTCTCCATCTTATTCTTAATTCTATCAATAATAACTCTACCATACACTTTACCAAGTATACTCAACAGACTTTTTTTTTTTAACAAGTCGGCTGTCTCCCACCGAGGCAGGGTGACCCAAAAAGAAAATCTCCAAAAAGGAAATACTTTCACCATCATTCAACACCTTCACCTCATTCACACACAACCACTGTTTTTGCAGAGGCACCCAGATACAACAGTTTAGAAGCATATATAAAGATATATAACATATCCCTCCAAACTGCCAATATCCCAAACCCCTCCTTTTAAAGTGCAGGCATTGTACTTCCCATCTCCAGTACTCAAGTCTGGCTATACAAAAATAACCGGTTTCCCTAAATCCCTTCACTAAACATCACCCTGCTCACACTCCAACAGCTCATCAGGTACCAAAAACCATTCATCTCCATCCACTCCCATCCAACACGCTCACATCCCCCCCGCTGGAAGCCCAAGCCCCTCACCCACAAAACCTCCCCTACCCCCTCCCTCCAACCCCTTCGAGGACTACCCCTTATAATTTTTGAACTCTTTTGTTCCCTTTGCCTTTATACAAAGGAACCATGCATGCTCTCTGCCAATCCCTAGATACCTTACCTTCTTCCATACATTTATTAAATAAAAGCACCAACCACTAAAACTGTCCCCCTACCTACTTTTAACATTTCAATCTCTATCCCATCAATCCCTGCTGCTTTACCCCCTTTCATTCTACCCACTCCCTCACGAACTTCCCCCACACTCACAACTGGTACTGCCTCACCATCACGATACCTCTAAATCTCCATTTAATAACTCTCTTCTCCTATTTTTAACTATCAAATCCATTCGTTCCCTAGGCTTCCTCAACTTATTAATCTCACTCCTAAACTTTTTATAATTTTCAACAAAATTTGTTGATAACATCTCACCCATTCTCATTTGCTCTCTTTTTACATTGTTTCACCACTCTCTTAATGTCTCTTTTTCTCTCCATATACTCCTCCCTCCTTGCATCACTTCTACTTTGTAAAAACTTCCTCTACCTTACTATTCTCTTTACATCATTCCACCAATAGCCCTTCTTCCCTCTCGCACCCACTTCCTGTAACCACAAACCTCTGCTGAACACACTAACACTACATTCTTCAACCCCATTGCCTATACTCTCACTAGCCCATCGATCCTCCAATAGTTGTTTATATGTTATCCCAAACTGCCTCTTCCTCTAGTTTATAAACAAAGCACAAATTCAACTACCCCATTTTCTTCAGTCCCATCTTAGGTATTGCATAAGGTAACTATTAAGCTGCAAATTATATAGCAATTGACTAAAGTATTTTACACACAACTTTTTTGCTTACATATCCAACATGTGGAAATAAGGATTATGTCAAATTCACAAATGCTTTCAAGAAGTTTGTGTATCATATTTTGTAAGTGTAAGACAAAACTCACCAGCAGCAATTTGAGTGGCAATGATAAGCATATCAGGTTGTTCCAGCACCACCTGAGACATGCCATCATCACTGCAAGCAGACACATCTGACCTTGGGGAATGAGCAATCAGAAACTCGTGCAAATCACCCTGTCAACAAAAAATTAATGCTTTGCACTGTTATCCGTGACATACATACCTTTAACACATAAAAAGTAAATAATGATAATATTCCAGCCAAACGACAGTGTTAATGCATAAATTAATGCAACCTCAAATACAATCAAATGTGGCTAGCTTTCAAAATGAGGTACCATACTCTTTCTGTGGTACACATTTCCTCTTATTCTTGAGAACTTTATACAGGTCTGCCATCACAAATCTGGCATCAATGGGACCTGTAGTGTGCCGGATTACTAAGTTTGCCGGATTACAGAGTGGTTAGGTTAGAATACACTTAATACAATTAGCAAACTTGACTTACACAAGAAAGTTCATTGAACATTGGCAAAAACCGAACATTTCCACTACTTTGAGCTCAATTTCAAGGTACTTTTTGCAGTGAAACCAATCAAAATCATATCTATTTCAGTAATATACCTTCCATTCTATCAAATGAGATCAAGAAAATGAGAATACAACCTTAAAAACCATAAGAAAAATGCCGTAAAGAGGCAGCTAATGGCTGAGAAGTGAACTCCCTTATTTATTGTCTTTTTTTTTTTTTTAATTTCTGGTGCACATTAAGAATCATCTTTCAATCATACATTGCCCAAGTTTCAATAAGATAGCCCAACAAACAACTGAGAAAAAAAAATATTTACCAAAAATCATATATGGCAAGCCCAAGACAGGTACTGGAAATAAGTCACTGACTTTTTTGGGTTATCATAGGTTCTCTACACACATGCTGCTATGTATGATAACCTCTAACTATTTGTGTATACCTGAATAAATTTACTTATTTACTTATTTCTATTCTGTCGACTGAGTACAAGAAACCGCCCATTCACCTATTTCAACTACTCAATAAATTGGCAATTTGGCCAATTTCACACAAATATCAACAGATGCTAATTTCAAAATAGGATCCAGAATTAACAATGCAGACATTCCTGCCACTAAAATATCATTTTCTCTGTTTATTAGTCACTGCTTCAGGCCCCTCTTATATAACTCTTGCTTACCATTTGGAATTTTTATTCACACAAAAAATAGAAGATTTACTGTTATGCAGACTACTGCATTATTGTAATAATTGTATAAATAATGTCAACCCATTCTTGACTGCGTATTGGAATTTGGACTGGCATGTGCACACGTATTAGACAGTGATGTCATTTGTTTACTCTTGAGCATCGCTAAAGAATAGAACATTTCCGCTACTGTGAGTGCAATTTCAAGGTACAGGAGGGCCCCACTTATACGGCGGGTTAGGTTCCAGGCTACCGCCATAAAGTGGAACACCCTTTTTTTCCACTTACAAATGCATACAAACACTAGATAACAAGTTTACACTAACATATATTATGTTAGCAATAGAACCAGGCATCAAAAAAACAATAAAAAAGTACAATACACACATAGTGCACTCATTACTTACCTTAAAATATTTATAGTCTTAATCTAGGGTGAGACAAGTAGTATTTATTGTAAGAAATCAAGTGTGGTATGTATGGTAGTCAGCCAGGCTACCATACCAGGCCAACCCACCCACACATACTATTCTATGATATTTAAGCATCCCAGAGCGATAAAATGTATATACAGTTCACTCATTACTTACCTTAAAATATAGGGTGAGACAAGTAGTATTTATTGTAAAAAATCAAGTGTGGTATGTATGGTAGTCAGGCAGGCTACCATACCAGAGAGAAAGAATGAGTGCATGAGAGAGGACAGGCGCAGAGTTATGTAAACAAACCAGGCGAAGGTAAGTTTTGTAAACAGTGTACATGTCTGGTTTGTGTACAAGTTACATTGTGTACAGGTTGTCTCTACATTGATACGGTAGAATAAATAAAGAAGAACACTCCCATTCTCATGTAACATCATTTTGAGAAGAAATGATGCTCTGAGTGAAGGCAATGGAAGTAAGTCACTCTGACTTTTTTTGGGTTATCCTAGGTTCTCTAAACATATGTTATGTATTTATGTTATGTATCGTGTTTATTATATAATTTTGAAAAAAATATCACGGATGGATTAATGAAAATGTGTATATTAACATAATATACAACATTTAATGATACACCGAGCTCAGACAGCGTAAACAAACAAACTGAACAGGTTGTGGACGATCACTCGGTCAGGCGAAATAGACGGTATTAATACGTGTCCAGTTTTAGTTCATTCATGTACATTTGTAAGAGTTTGTGAAACTTTTACCTTATAATATTTTTATTATTATTATAATAATTAAATCACAAAACAAATACTCTTACACTGTGTACAAGTTAGTACAGAATTATAGCTATGAAGTGAAGGCATACGAAAGGAATATTTTTCTACAGTTATCCCTAGTAACAGGTGACGGGCTAGAGAAAACGTAATTCTTCCGAAACTTCTACAAACCGTTTGGTAAACATCTCATATATATTTGTATAAATTTTTATACTGTGGGTGCATGTATCATGTTTGTGTGTTACATAATGTGTTTGTTATATAATTTTGAAAAAAATACCATAGATAGATTAAGGGAAATGTCTATATTAACGTAATATGCGACATTAATGCGCCCAAGAGATTATTATTATTATTATTATTGCATCAAGAGTAGAGAGACTTAGTGATTTTAATGTGTACCTACATGCCAGCACAGTGTGTAAGTTTATTTAGGTACAGGTGTACACAAGTTTAATTATCAAGTACAATACATATAAAATATACAATAACTTTAAAACACTTGAAATTTTGGAAAGTTTCCAGACATAATAAGGAGATGTGCTCAGGGAGAATGTAAACAAACTCGGTGGGCAGCTGTGACCGTATTAGAAAGACAGGTGGGGGAGCCGTATAGGGAGTTTTGGTCATAATTTGAAATGTCCGTATTAGCGGAACGCCGTAAAGCGAAACGCCGTAAAGCGGGGCCCTGCTGTACTTCTCGCTGTGAAAGCAATCAAAATCATATATATTTCTGTAATACGTCTTCAGTTCTATCAACTGAGACCAAAAAAAACAAGAATACAACCATAAAATCCACACGAAAATATACCGCTATGGGGCCGCTAATGGCTGAGAAGTGAACCCCGTTATTTATGATCTGATTTCTTTCATTTTTGGTGTACATTAAGAAGCATCTTTTCATCATACACTGCCCAAGTTTCAATAAGATAGCCCAACAAGCAACTGAGAAAAAATAATAATTATATAATAATATCTTTATTTACTACATGTACATGGTATACAGGCCTAGCTGACATCAATGACATACTACTGTATATAGAAAGCCCCAAGTTATGCTAAGCACTTCAGGCAAATTTTAAGTCAGTGTCCCAGGATAAGTCCCACACCAGTCCACTAACACCCAGGTACCCATTTGCTGATGGGTGAACATGGACAACAGGTGTAAAGAAATATGCCCAATGTTTCTATCCTGGCTGGATATTGAATATTTACCAAAAATCATATATGACTAGCCCAAGCCAGGTACCAGAAATAAGCCACTGACTTCTTTGGGTTATCCTAGGTTCTCTACACACATGCTGCTATGTGTGATAATCTAGGTAGAGAAAATAGCTTTTCTGTTTCAGTTTTATGGTGCAGTATGAGTGTATATCACAGTTAGCCCTGGGCTATACTCCGCTTTCTTTAATGTAAGCCCCCAAGACAGGGATGGGAGAATGGTACTTGTATCCCATATCCTCTTCATACCTCTGTCGAACTACTTGGTATTATGCCAAATATTACTCATTCTGGAGTATTTAACATGTTTTTATGTTATTTAATATGTCATATTAGATCAACTTTGATAGGCAAATAAACTGTAGTGTAATAATAACGCATATTCCCCTGCATCATGAGACTGAGCTCATGGCAACCGACAGTGGCTTCAAAGCCACCTTATCTTTAACCCTTAACCCTTTGACTGTTTCAGGCCCCTCTCTGAAACTGTCATTCTATGTCGCTCAATTTTTGAAAAAAAAAAAATTATTTTTTCTTATGAAATGATAGAGAATCTTTTCCCGATGGTAATGACACCAAAAGTTCGAAATTTGGTCGAAAACTCATGGAATTATGCTCCCGCGAAGTTAGCTGTCTCGGCGACATATGCGTATTGGCGATTTCGCCGACTTTGAGCCCTATTTTCAGCCAATTCCATTGTTCCAGTTGACCAAACTCATAGCTATTTCTTTAGAACTCCATTTTATCTATCAGCTGAGTACAAGAAACCTCCCATTTACTAATTTGGACTACCCAATATGGTCAGAAATTGGCAATTTGGCCAATTTCACGCAAACTAAAAAAGATGCCAATTTCAAAATAGGGTCCAGAATAAACAAGGTAGACATTCGTGGCACTAAAATAACATATGCTCTGTTCATTAGTCACATCTCTAGGCCCCTGTATATTATTATTGCTTTCTATTTTGATTTTTTATTCATACAAAAAAATACAAAATTTACTGTTATGCAGACTACTGCATTATTGTAAAAATGGTATAAATAATATCAGTGCACTAGTGAAAGAATATTAGACTCCCCAGTTGATGTGTATTGGACGTGTTGTGTGATTTATTTACTCCTGAACATTGGTAAAAATCGAACATTTCCGCTACTTTGAGCTCAGTTTCAAGGTAGTTTTCATCGTCAAAGCAATGAAAATCATCTCTATTTCTGTAATATGTTTTCCATTTTATTACCTAAGACCATGAAAACGCGAATACAACGATAAATACTATACGAAAATACACCTCAAAGTCGGCGTTTTATTCCAAAAAAACGATCAGTTTTTTTTTTCTCATTACGCAATGTGTGCTGCAGGATTTTTTTTATGTGGTGCACAATGACCACACAGACCCATTCTCTCACATGTGGGCCTACCAGCTTTCTCCCGCTTGATTTGAAGCCGCTAGAATTACTGAGTATATATACGTCAGAAACATTGGCTCGTAAGACGTATTTATACGTCAAAAACAGTCAAAGGGTTAAACTATCCAAACATAGATCTACATTCACGTGCATAGCGCTCCCACCTTTATTTTCTCTATTTGAAAGCATGAAAAAAAAAAATGTAGATCTACGTTCAGAGCACTATGCACAAACACAGATCTACGTTTGGACAGTTTAAGGGTTAATGGACAATGTACTGTGAAGGTGCTTTACACAACAAGAAGCATTTCTTTTATTCGTTGGAACCATGGCTAGGGCTAAAAGCAGGCAGGTTATAACAATAAATGGAGAAAAAAAAATTGGAAAGACTTATACAGCAAGTAGTGCCACCAAACAGTACAAGCAGGTTGGTGTGGCAATCCTGGAAATTTGAAATTACACTAGTCAAAATTAGTGCCAAATAACTGACGGAACCAGATGTCTGATTGCCAGATTAGTGATGGTGGACCTGTACATCCTCAGCATCATTAACTGACACTGCCATAGCACAAAACAATATTGCATTACTTCATTAATGTTAGTTGCTTAATAAGAACATGAAAAATATTACATACTAACCTGTGACATATGTTCAAACAGCATGCACATTGGCTCCTCTTTCATAACTACCCCCAGGAGACAGACAATATTGGGATGACGCAGATCAGTCATCAGTTCAACCTCGCGATGGAAGTCTTGTCGTGTCTTAGCAGTTGCATTTTCCTTTAATGTCTTAATAGCAACTAGAACAGAGCTGCCATCAGGACTCACTCCCTGTAATTCCCCTTTATAAACTTTACCTGTCGAGTAAATGTGTATATATAATAAGCTGATAAATGATACTGATGGGAAGGTAGAAAAAGTTTAACCAAAATGCTCAACAATTAATAAACAATGTTTCTGAAGTAATAAAGTAATATAAATCAATTCCATTACATACAAACAGTAAATTATTTAAGAATTTTCAGAGGCTCACCAAAAGCGCCTTCTCCAAGCTCTTGCATGAATCTAACGTTTGCTAACGGAAACTCTCGAGCCCTCAGCTGCTGTTGCTTAGGAAGGAGTGCATTCAGCTCTACAGTCTTGGCCTTGGGTGAGGGTTGCTTAGGTGACTTGGCTTTGTGTTTCATGCAGAGGGCAATAATCAGTGAGAGAAAGACTGTGCCACCTACAATTGCTGCTACCAGGATATATACCCAAGTATTGTCACCTACAGAAGAAGGAAAATATATTCAAAACAAACACATTAAACACACACAATTTAAAAGTGCTCTTAATATAAGATTTGTTAAGTATCTTACATGAAAGCATTTTTACCTACAAATTAAAATTAACATTAACAAATAATTAATGATTCAACAGACAAAACATTTACTTAGGATATCATGCACTTACAAACATCAAAATATTCTTTTTGTCTCTTGCTTACAATTTTTCCTTTAAGATCATTTTGCTTCACTAAAAACATTAAATTACGCATCCAACAACTATTTATTCATCAGAAAAACTATTAATCCAACAATCATTAATCCCCACAGAAAACCATATCAAGCAATTATGATTTGACATTATCACACATTTTTTATATTCTGAAGAATCCACTCCCTTTTATTCCCAAATACTAATCCCTATTAATACTTCCCTCAAATATCAGACTTACTGCAAGTACAACCAGAATCTGTTGTACTAAAGCATAAATAACTGTACTTTCTATCTTATCCCTACTGAGTTGTCCCTTTATTTGACACTATTTTAGAGATTTTATTTTGTGAAATTGTGTCATTGCAATTTTACTGTCTCTTTTCAGTTTTACTTACAAATTAAGAATAATATGCCTGGTTCGAGGGTTCTGGTACTCTTTAAGCTCAGCTTAAGATCAAGCTTCCAATGTGACTGCCAGGTCAACCAGATTGTTGCTACTAGTGGCCCACATAACCATTACAATTGGTTGCCAGTGGCACCATAAGCTGGGGGGGGGGCACACCAAGGGGTGACACCATAGAGCCTCTAAAGGTGACACTAATGCTCAAAACAGTGCTGCAGCAACACAAGAGGAAAATCCTTTGCTTCTATGTAGCCTATTATATGATTACAGAATATAAATAAAGGGAAAAATCAACGATGTTATATGAAAAATACAATAAATCGATAATTTTATTTACGATATTTTGGAAAAACCCTTAATCCACTTGGCATCACTATGATCACTGACTGATATATGCAAGAATAAGCTCATGCTTGAAATACAAAGACTAACGAGGCACCTTCAAGCTCTGATGTTTATCTTGAAAAAGTTAAGCATGGGACTGCATTGGATGCACTAACATTCATAGCTGAATGGGATTTCATTGAATCTCTTCTAACTGTCACACTCTGCCTGAGGTTGTTCCTTACTATATGTGTTTCTGTGACTTCTTGTGAAAGGAGTTTCTCTAAGTTTAAGCTGATTAAAAATTATTTATGGTCCATAACAAGTCAATCCAGAATCTCTGACTTAGCAATGTTATCCACAGAAAATAGGTCAGCTGAGAGCATTGATTTTGATGATGTGACATGATTTTGCAGGATTGAAGGCAAGGAAATGTAAGATCTGATTCACTGAGATGTTACCTGTACTCAAGGTCAAATCAGAACTAGTGTTTCTCTGATATTGCAATGTTTTTCTTTATTTTTCAAGTTTTTTTTGCATTGTTGAAGATGAATTAATGTAAGAACTGTTGTCTGTACTCAAAATGGTCTTTGAGTTTAAGTTTCCTAAATATTACTAGGATTACTTTTTTTTTTCAACAAGTCAGCCATTTCCCGCCTAGGCAGGGTGACCCAAAAAGAAAATCCCCAAAACGAAAATACTTTCATCATTCAGCACTTTCACCTCGCTCATAATCACTGTTTTTGCAGAGGCACCCAGATATAACAGTTTAGAAGCATAAATAAAGATACATGTACAATATAAAAAGTGACCTGAAAATACAATATCAGGACCCCAATTATATATATATACCATCCTATTACACATCCCTCCAAACTGCCAATATCCCAACCCCCTCCTTTGAAGTGCAGGTATTGCACTTCCTATTTCCAGAAATCAAGTCTGGCTATATAAAAATAACCGGTTTCCCTGAATCCCTTCGTTAAATATTGCCCTGCTCACACTCCAATGGTTCGTCAGGTCCCAAAAACCATTCATCTCCATTCACTCCTAACACACTCATGCATGCTTGCTGGAAGTCCAAGCCCCTTGCCCAGAAAACCCTTAATTTACGCCATCCCTCCAACCTTTGCGAGGACAACTCCTACCCCGCCTTCCTTCCCCTAAAGATTTGTGTGCTCTCCATGTCATTCTACTTTGATCCATTCTCTCTAAATGACCAAACCTCCTCAACAACCCCTCTTCAGCCCTCTGACTAATACTTTTAGTAACTCCACACCTCCTAATTTCCACACTCCGAATTCTCTGCATAATATTTACACCACACGTTGCTCTTAGACAGGACATCTCCACTGCCTCCAACTGCCTCCTTGCTGCAGCACTTACAACCCAAGCTTCACACCCATATAAGTGTGTTGGTACCACAATACTTTTATACATTCCCTTCTTTGCCTCCACTGATAACATTTTATGTCTCCACATATACCTCAATGCACCACTCACCTTTTTTCCATCATCAATTCTATGGTTAACCTTATCCTGCATAAACCCATCTGCTGACACATCAACTCCCAAATATCTGAAAAGATTCACTTCTCCTATACTCCTCCTCTCCAATGTGATATCCAATTTTTCTTTATCTAAATCATTTGATACCCTCATCACTTTACTCTTATCTATTTTCACTTTCAACTTTCTACCTTTACACACCCTCCCAAACTTGTCCACTAACCTTTGCAACTTTTCTTCAGAATCACCCATTAGCACAGTATCATCAGCAAAAAGTAACTGTCAACTCCCATTCTGTACTTGATTCTCCATAATTTAATCACACCCCTCTTCCCAACACCCTAGCATTTACTTCTTTTACAACCCGATCTATAAATATATTAAACAACCATGGTGACATTGCACATCCCTGTCTAAGACCTACTTTTACCGGGAAGTAATCTCCCTCTCTTCTACACACCCTAACCTGAGCCTCACTATCCTCAGAGAAACTCTTTGCAGCATTTAGTAACTTATTACCTATTCCATATACAGTACTTGCAACATCTGCCACATTTCTCCCCTATCCACTATCACATGCCTTTTCTATATCCATAAATGTAATGAAAACTTCCCTACCTTTATCTAAATATTGTTCACATATACGCTTCTATGTAAACATTTGATCTACACACCCCGTACCCACTCTAAAGCCTCCTTGCCTCCTACTCTCTGTCTTGCTTCTAATTCTTTCAATAACAATCCTGGTATACTCAGTAAACTTATTCCCCTATTTATTTTATCATTAATAAAGTTGAGAAGTGTTCTCCTGTTCGGTTTATGGCCCTTAAACGTTCTCATTGCTAAACATTAGTCACTGGGCATGCAGTAGTGACGTAACTGGAGTTTACTCCCCCCCCATCCCCCCGCCCTTGGATTTCATGGGGTGACACCAAAGATGCCCCCCCCCAGTAGACACCAACCCTAGCAATGCCACTGCTGGTTGCTACTTGATAGTGATCCAGAAGGGACCACAATGTCATCACTTCATTTTTTTAAGTGTAAATATTTTGTGATTTGTTCTAGTCACATTACTGTGACTTGTATTCTGGCTAGCTTACAATATGTGTAGACAGTGAATGCAGAGCCAAGCCTATATTTTAAACAGGTTAACTCAGGATTCAGCTTTATCAAGACTTGATGAAGATCTAGCCTCAGTGAAACTGTCGAAAATAAAGGCTCGTTGTACATTTTGAAGGAATACGTATACACTACCCACTTGATGGGATAATGCCCCATCACCATCCTGTCTAGTTTACAATATACTACACAAAATACAATGAAATAATTAAAAACATAAATGCTGACTTACTGCAAACTTGAACAGCACACTCCTCTTTAGATACTGAATGTTCAGTAGCCACAAAGCACCAAGGTTGTGTCTCGGCTCCACCTGGGTTACGGCAATAGTTATGCCCCCCAATAAGTTCTGGGTATTCAGCTGTTCGCATATAAAGTTGATTCTGACTCCAAGGTTCACAAATCCGTCCAGAGATTGTATGGCTCTCTGTTCCACGATAGGTTTCTCCATTTCTCATGTAGCATTTCTCATCTGGTTTAATAAAATACTTGCACTGTACAAGATAAATTGCCTACAAGAACAATGCTTAATCAAGCCTATATAACAATCCAACTTTAATAACTAATTGCAGAAAAATAAAGAGTTCTACATCTACTAAATATTTAAAGAAATGATGAAAAACTAACTTACCCTCAACAAGTGGTTCACTTTGCACTCCCAAACGGATGCACGAGAGATGGTCTGGAGAGGTGATAGGAGCAAGGTCCTCGCATTCAGGAATTGGAAGTTTCCTTCCAATTAGTTGATGTTGTTTTGCAATTACGTATTCCATTCTGCATACATCATTTACCTGTTTAATACAAAATTCACACATCAAACTTTTGAACATCCACTAGTGTTAAAGTATTTTCACCTTATTTTTTTATCTGTTAATAGTTTTTAAATTCATGGTATTTCATTATAATTTCTAGTTAAATAATGAGTTGCTACGCTACAGAAATATCTTAATATTGAAAAAACTTCCCCTGCCAAAGGATTTTCTTTAGGCTTGTTCCTAAATTTGTTCCTAGTCCCTTGGTTTTAAAAAAAATAGCATGCTTGAAAGGGGGTAAAACTAACTGAGGATCATTACAAATTGCAAACCTGGGGATATATGTTGGACTGTTTGTATTTTTTTTAGTAAATGTTTAAGGTAGATTATATTGCGACGACTTTACCTTTAATAGAGAAGGGACAAGATTGTAAAATTATAGGGGAATAAGTTTACCGAAACCCCCCGGAATTTTAATTAAATTCAAAAATAGTTAACAGTGTCCAATAAGCAAGGAGTTTATAAGTGGGTGGGATTTAGATCAAGTGTTACATTGATTTAGTATTTTAAATTTTTTTCTCTTTTTTATATAATGTTTACATAAAATGGGTGATAGCCATTGCCTCCTGGCATTTTAGTCCTTACATTGCCACCATGGCTTATTTAGGAAATTTCCAAGACATAGAGGAAGAAAAAAGAACAAGAGCTATTTAAAAAAAAAGATAACTAATGTTTTTTTAGTATATATTCATTGTCTCCGTGTAGTGTGATCCTATTTTTGCAAGATATACCTGTAACCCAAGTTGTTTGAGACAGAAAAAGACAAAATCCTACCCCATGAAAACAATTCAGGTTTCTCTATTACCATCATCTGGCAGAGGTTTATTCCCTGGTGGTTTGTATATGTAATGAATTTTATGTCTCCACATATACCTCAACGCACCACTCACTTTTTTCCCTCATCAATTCTATGATTAACCTTTATATTATAACATCCATCCGCCGAACGTCAACTCCCAAGTAACTGAAAACATTCACTTCTTCCATACTCCTCCTCCCCAATTTGATATCCAATTTTTCTTTATCTAAATCATTTGATACCCTCATCACCTTACCCTTTTCTATGTTCACTTTCAACTTCTACCTTTACACACACTCCAAACTCATCCACTAACTTTTGCAATTTTTCTTTAGAATCTCCCATAAGCACAGTATCATCAGCAAAAAGTAACTGTGTCAATTCCACATTTTGTATTTGATTCCCCATAATTTAATCCCACCCCTCTCCCGAACACCCTAGCATTTACTTCTTTTACAACCCCATCTACAAATATATTAAACAACCATGGTGACATTACACATCCCTGTCTAAGACCTACTTTTACCGGGAAGTAGTCTCCCTCTCTTCTACACACCCTAACCTGAGCCTCACTATCCTCATAAAAACTCTTTACAGCATTTAGTAACTTACCACCTATTCCATATACTTGCAACATCTGCCACATTGCTCCCCTATCCACTATCATATGCCTTTTCTAAATCCATAAATGCAATAAAAACTTCCCTACCTTTATCTAAATACTGTTCACATATAGTATGCTTCAATGTAAACACTTGATCTACACATCCCCTACCCACTCTGAAACCTCCTTGCTCATCTGCAATCCTACATTTTGTCTTACCTCTAATTCTTTCAATTATAACCCTACCGTACACTTTTCCTGGTATACTCAGTAAACTTATTCCTCTATAATTTTTACAATCTCTTTTGTCCCCCTTCCTTTTATATAAAGGGACTATACATGCTCTCCGCCAATCCCTAGGTACCTTCCCCTCTTTCATACATTTATTAAACAAAAGTACCAACCACTCCAACACTATATCCCCCCCCTGCTTTTAACATTTCTGTCATGATCCCATCAGTTCCAGCTGCTTTGCCCCCTTTCATTCTACGTAATGCCTCACATACCTCCCCCACACTTACATTCTGCTCTTCTTCACTCCTAAAAGATGGTATACCTCCCTGGCCAGTGCATGAAATTATCGCCTCCCTTTCTTCCTCAACATTTAAAAGTTTCCTCAAAATATTCTCGCCATCTACCTAATACCTCCCTCTCCCCATCTAACTCCCCTACTCTGTTTTTAACTGACAAATCCATACATTCCCTAGGCTTTCTTAACTTGTTTAACTCACTCAAAAATTTTTTCTTATTTTCATTCAAATTTCTTGACAGTGCCCCTCCCACTATCATCTGCTCTCCTTTTGCACTCTCTCACCACTCTCTTCACCTTTCTTTTACTCTCCATATACTCTGCTCTTCTTATAACACTTCTGCTTTGTAAAAACCTCTCATAAGCTAACTTTTTCTCTTTTATCACACCCTTTACTTCATCATTCCACCAATCACTCCTCTTTCCCTCCTGCCCCCACCCTCCTATAACCACAAACTTCTGCCCCACATTCTAATACTGCATTTTTAAAACTCATCCAACCCCTTTCAACCCCCCCCCCCCCCCACTACTCATCTTTGCACTAGCCCACCTTTCTGCCAATAGTCGCTTATATCTCACCCGAACTTCCTCCTCCCTTAGTTTATACACTCTCACTTCTCTCCTACTTGTTGTTGCCACCTTCCTCTTGTCCCATCTACCTCTTACTCTAACTGTAGCTACAACTAAATAATGATCCGATATATCAGTTTCCCCTCATTAAACATGTATATCCTGGAGCCTACCCATTAACCTTTTATCCACCAATACATAATCTAACAAACTACTTTCATTACGTGCTACATCATACCTTGTATATTTATTTATCCTCTTTTTCGTAAAATATGTATTACTTATTACCAAATCTCTTTCTACACATAGCTCAATTAAAGGCTCCCCATTTACATTTACCCCTGGCACCCCAAATTTACCTACTACTCCCTCCACAACATTTTTACCCACTTCAGTATTGAAATCCCCAACCACAAGTACTCTCACACTTGGTTCAAAACTCCCCATGCATTCACTCAACATTTCTCAAAATCTCTCTCTCTCTCCTCTACACTTCTCTCTTCTCCAGGTGCATATATGCTTACTATAACCCACTTTTCACATCCAACCTTTATTTTACTCCACATAATCCTTGAATTAATACATTTATAGTCCCTCTTTTCCTGCCATATCTTATCCTTCAACATTATTGCTACTCCTTCTTTAGCTCTAACTCTATTTGAAACCCCTGACCTAATCCCATTTATTCCTCTCCACTGAAACTCTCCCACCCCTTTCAGCTTTGTTTCACTTAAAGCCAGGACATCCAGCTTCTTCTCATTCATAACATCCACAATCATCTCTTTCTTATCATTTACATAACATCCACGCACATTCAGACTTCCCACTTTGACAATTTTTTTCTTCTTATTCTTTTTAGTAATCTTTACAGGAAAAGGGGTTACTAGCCCATTGTTCCTGGCATTTTAGTTGATTTTTACAACACGCATGGCTTACAGAGGAAACATTCTTATTCCACTTCCCCATGGATATAAAAGGAAAAGTAATAAGACCAAGAACTATTAAGATAAAATCAAAGAAAACTCAGATGAGTGTGTATAAATAAACGTGTACATGTATGTGTAGTGTGACCTAAGTGTAAGTAGCAAGACATACCTGTAATCTTGCATATTTATGAGACAGACAAAAGACACCAGCAATCCTACCATCATGTAAAACAATTACAGGCTTTCGTTTTACACTCACTTGGAAAACTTACGGAATTATGCTCTCACAGAAATTATCGGTCTCGATGATGTTCACGCATCGGCAATTTCGCCCACTTTGAGCCCTATTTTCGGCCAATTCCAGTGTACTAGTCGACAAAAATCATAACTATTTCACTAGAACTCCGTTTTTTCTATCGAATGAGTACAAGAAACCACCCATTTATCGATTTCAACTATCCAATAAGGTCAGAAATTGGCAATTTTGCCAATTTCACACAAATTTCTAAAGATGCCAATTTCCAAATAGGGTCCAGAATAAACAAGACAGGCATTCCTGGCACTAAAATAACATTTCCTCTGTTCGTAAGTCATGTCCCCAGGGTCCTCTTACATTTCTTTTGTTTTCCACTTCGAATTTTTATTCTCACAAAAATTAGAAGATTTACTGTTATGCAGACTACTGCATTAGTGTAGAAATGGTATAAATAACATCAGCGCACTTGTGAAAGAATATCAGACTCACCAGTTGACGTGTATTGGATGTGTGGCATGATTTGTTTATTTTTGAGCTTAGGCAAAAATCGAACATTTCTGCTACTTTGAGTTCAATTTCAGGGTACTTTTCATTGTGAAACCAATCAAAATCATCTCAATTTCTATATTATGGCTTCCATTCTATAAAATGAGACCAGGAAAACTAGAATACAACCATAAATACTATATGAAAATACTATGCAATTCACTGTTTTAAACTAAAAACATGGTCAAATTTTTTTTTTATTACACAGAGTGCTGCAGGATTTTTTTTTATACTGTGCACACTGACCACATAGACCCATTCTTTCATATGTAGGCCTACCAGCTTTCTCTCGCTAGATTTGAAGGCGCTAGAATTTACGCTTACCAGTACGCCAATAACCCTGGTGCGTAAGACGTACTAGTACGTCAGAAACCCTGAAAGGGTTAATGGGCCTCAGTGATTATTGTGTATTATCATCATCAAGACTAATAAGACACTCTTAAGTGATTTTAATGTATACCTGCATGCCAGCATAGTGTGGGGGTTTATTTAGGTACAGGTACACATAAGTACAATTATCAGAGTATATATAAAACACGAAATAACTTTAAAACACTTGAAATTTTGGAAAGTTTCCAGATATAATGGAGAGATGCAGTGCTCACGAAGCTCACAGAGAATGTAAACAAACCACCATAGAGCGAAATTGCGTAAAGAGGTGCCCTACTGTACATGTACAAAAATAGTTATAAAAGTAATAAAGAACTGAATTATTGAAGATAAAGGTGGCAAATAAAGGCAACCATAATTTGTAGCCTACTTCTGATAAACTTTTCACTAGCACTGGTGTTGTTTCCTATTTATTTCAGGGTTAAAGCATGCAACTTCTTGTTTTTCATTACAAGTGATTTTTTTTTTTCAAAGGCCTCAAAAAAAATAGAAAGTTTACACTTACAAGAATCTCACATTCTTCCCTACAAAGCTGCCTCGGTTCTGGGTCAGGTGAATTCTGATTACATAAAGGAAGTGCAGCATAGCAGAGTGACTTAATTGCATAGTCCTCACATTTTGCTGAAAGATCACTGGGAAGGAAAAAGGCGATTAGATAAGTACTGGTAGTAATGATTATTTTGGATTATGTCCATATGCTTTACAGAGATACATTTGAACATACAAATTAAATTATACAAAGGTGGAATACATGGCATTAATAAAAGACTATACCAGTGGGTACCATATACAGTAGAGTACACAATACAGAGGACCCCTGCCTTACGATCAGCTTCCAATGCGACCAATTATGTAAGTGTATTTATGCAAGTGCTTTTGTACGTGTATTTTTGGGGGTCTGAAACGGACTAATCTAATTCACAATATTCCTTATGGGAACAAATTCGCTCGGTAACGGCACCTGAACATACTTCTGGAATGAAATTATATCGTAAGGTGGGGGTCCACTGTACTGTATATAACAGGGCAGTATCAGTTTACATAAGAATACAATAAATTAGGGAACACAACTTAGTTTGACATTTTTTTATTAGACAAACTAGCAAGGTTTTTTTTCCATGAAATCATCACTGTTGGAGGCTGTAGCCACTTTATAGTAGATCACTGTGACAGGCTTTGTTTGAAGCCAATACTTGAGAATATGCTCAGTGATTTGCAATAAAAGGAATAGCAATACCTTTTAAAATAACTCTTAAAATGATATCCATAATGTAAAATAAAAGTTTTTTGATCAAACAATTAGCTATGGCAGTACACTTGAGCACTGTAAATAGGTCAAAGGCCAAATACTACATTTATAGCAACTGATGGATAAATTTTACCAAATTTCCTGATGAGATTTTTTTGAATTGTTCTTGCTTATGAATTAATTCCAGTATTTTGTTCAGTTTTCAAATCAATTAAAATACCCATTAACTTTATCACCTCTGCAAAAACAGTGATAAAGTGTGAGTGTGGTGAAAGTGTTGAATGATGATGAAAGTATTTTCTTTTTGGGGATTTTCTTTCTTTTTTTGGGTCACCCTGCCTCGGTGGGAGATGGCCGACTTGTTGAAAAAAAAAAAAAATTAACTTTATCTCAGAGTTCATACAGGAATAAGATGAAAATTCAGGACTTCTAAAGAGTAACCAAAAGCAAGATCCCCCTGCCCTTGCCCATTACATGCAGTATCAAAAAATAAACACTCATATTATTCTCTTTTTCAACACAACAGCTGTCTCCCACCAAGGCAGGGCGACCTGAAAAATAAATATAAAATTTTATTCTTTGTACATTTAGTAATTTACACAGAAGGGATTACTAGCCCCTTGCTCCCTAAGCATTTGTTATTCTGGTAAACAAATTACAATGATCTGAAAATCTTACTAAATTAAATTTATATTTACAGTAAGCCCTTGATATAATGGAGCTCAATATAAGAGACTTTATAAATAATGGGCAAAATCCACCAAGTAAATTGTACTTTTAACTCCTTTATTTACAATATTTATTGTGATATAACTCTAAACTGTGGGAGCAAGGGGCTAGTTACCCCTTCTCCTGTATGTATTACTAAAGTTAAAAAGATAAACTTTCGTTTTTCTTTTTAAGTCACCTGCCTTGGTGGGATATGGCCAGTTTGATGGGAAAAAACTGGAAACTGTGTACAGTGGACCCCCGGTATTCGATGGCATCGGTATTCGATAAATCCGGTATTCGATGCATCATATTGCAAAAAATTTTCCTCAGTATTCAATTGAAAACCCGGTATTCAATACGATTCGTACGAGACGTGTCCACGTGTGGCCTGAACTGCCCCGTGTGCCAGTGTTTATAAGCCAGCCAGTGTGCGCGCATCTGAGGATACATTCGGTACATTCCATATTATCCATATTATCACTGTGTTTGGGGCTTGTTTCTGCAAAATAAGTCACCATGGGCCCCAAGAAAGCTTTTAGTGCCAACCCTTTTCAAAAAAAAGGCGCTAATGACTTATGAAATGAAGAAAGAGATAATTGCAAAGTACAAAAGTGGAGTGCGTGTGTCGGAGCTGGTTAGGTTTTTATAATAAACCCAATCAACCATCTCTACTATAGTGACCAGGAAAACGGCAATCAAGGAAGCTGTTCTTGCAAAAGGTGCAACTGTGATTACGAAACAGCGAACCCAAGCGTTAGAAAATGTTGAGAGACTTTTTATTTGGGGTGGATAAATGAAAACAGATAGCAGGAGAAGCATCTCTCAAGGATCATTTGTGAAAAGGCTAGGCAGTTGCATGATGATTTGGTAAAGAAATTGCCTGCAACTAGTGGTTGATGTGAGTGAATTTAAGGCCAGCAAAGGTTGGTTTGAAAGATTTAAGAATCGTAGTGGCATACATAGTTTTGATTAGCATGGTGAGGCTGCCAGTTCGGACCAAAAAGCAGCTGAAAAAATACGTGAAGGATTCAAGGATTACATAGACAGTGAAACTGAACCAAAAGTGTTTAAAATTTCGACGAAACAGGCCTGTTTTGGAAAGAAAATGCCAAGCAGGACCTACATTACTCAGGAGGAAAAGGCACTCCCAGGACATAAGCCTATGAAAGACAGGGTTACTCTTCTCATTGTGCCAAGTATGGTGATTGCAAAGTGAAGCCTTTTTTGGGTGTATCATCAAACCCCCAGTGTGTTCAGGAAAAACAATGTCCTCAACAAATTTTGTTGTGTGTGGGGGCAAACAGAAAGGGCAGGGGTCCTGGGGGATTCTTCTTGAGGGTTTTAAAAAAAACATTTGCCCCACGTAAAAAAATTACAAACTAAAAAGAATTAACCAAAGTGCCTCCTGGTATTAGAAAATCCCCCTGGTCTCCTACAGCCCTGGCAGAGCGATTTCTGGGGCATGAGTTCATTAAGGTCAAGTTTTTGCCTCCAATCCACTCCTTCCTGCACCCCATGGCCAGCAGGCATTTCCAACTTCAAGAAACTGTACAAAAAGCTATGTCTCAAAAGTGTTTATAGGACCCACAAAAACCAACTGACTCTAAAAGAGTTTTGGAAGGATCACTTTAATATCTCAATTGTATAAACCTTAAGGTACGACTTGGGAGGGAGTGACTAGAGACTTGAACTCTGCTCGGAAAAAACTGTGGCCGAATGTGTAGACAAAAGGGATTTTGAAGGATTTAGGCTAACCTGGAATCTATGCCAGTTGAGGACTCCATTGGCATTGGGGAAGTCCTTGGGGCTGGGGGTTAATGGGAGGATGTGGAAAGTTGGTGGAGAGGACATGAAGAACTAACCACTAAATGAGCTAATAGATCATTTTCAACAGCAGGGCACACTTGAGGAAACTGCTTCGAGGAGGGTAGAGACATTGAAGAAGTTGCCTGCAATATAAACCAAATGCAGTATAATGTGTCCTTTATTGACTACGTTTCGCCCACACAGTGGGCTTTTTCAATCTCAGTCAACTGTGTTCAGGAAAAACAATTTGTCTCAGGACTCCAATTTCGTCATGCTGTGGAGAGGCGAACGTAAACATGGGTCACCAAGGGACATTTTGCAGACGGGTAGACACAAGCCTTTCCCCCAACTATGCAAAATTACTTAACTTTTGAAAAGAAATTCCAAGTGCCCTTTACCTCCACAATCACGACCATCTAACATACCTGCAGAGCGGACATTCTGGGGATACTTCTTTAAGGTCCAAGTTTATACCGTCCTAATACCAATCCTCTCACGCAGAACCCATGACCAGCGGGTTTACATATTGCCAGCGTACAACAGAATTACACAACACTATGTCTCAAAAGTGCTTATCGCCACAGAAACAACACTCTAAAAGAATCTTGGAAATATCACTTAATATCCCAAATTCAACCAGAATGGGTATGGCTTTGGATGACTAAGCTGAACACTTGAACTTCTGCTCGCATAAAAAACCCTGTGGCCAAAATGTATCTCTCCAACACAAAGGATTTTAAGGATTACAACCCAAGGAATCTATCCAGTTGAGAATTTCCTTCATGAGCATTGGGGTAAATACCGGGGGGTTCCCCCAGGTGGGGTTGTGGTTTGGTGACTTGAAAAACCCACTGTTGGGCTAAAGTTTTTCAAACAAAGGCCACACTTATAACTGCTTGTGTTTAATGGGTGGTATTTAGATACCATTGAATTTCAAATTGCCTACTTCAAAGATTAAGGAAATGTGTGCCATGTGGCTTAAAGTGCAAACCTTTTTTGATGACAATCACCCTAACACAGCTATTGCAAGCCGTGCTGGTGACTATTACACTGACAATGTTGTGAAACACTTTAGGAATGTCATAAAGGAACGGGAGGTACAGGCCACTATGAACAGATATGTTGTGCGACAGAAATCCAGTGACTCTCAAGCTGGTCCTAGGGGCATTAAAAGAAGAAGGGCAGTAACCCCGGAAAAGGACTTGCTACCTCAAGTCCTAATGGAAGGGGATTCCCCTTCTAAACACTAACACCTCTCCCCTCCTCCCATCCCATCAATCATCACCAGATCTTATTAAAGGTAAGTGTCAATTATTTTATTGTTATTGTAATTATTCTATTGCATTAAACTCAATATTTCATGTAGAAATTTTTTTTTTCATACTTTTGGGTGTCTTGCACAGATTAATTTGATTTCCATTATTTCTTATGAGGAAAATTGATTCGGTTTTCGATATTTTCGGTATTCGATGAGCTCTCAGGAATGGATTAATATCGAATACCGGGGGTCCACTGTACTGTACTATATTAGGTGTACAGTAGAGTATTTAAGTGCCTTTTTTTTAACATTCTGATTTAACAGACACTTGGACAATCCCCACTATTAATCCATTATACAAGCATTCACTGTACTATTAAATGGCAAAACAGCACTATATAAACAGATACAGGAAAAAATTGCACTGATGGTGGTTAACTAATTTAATTGTCCTGATGGTGGTTAACTAATTCAACTGTCCTGAACTTTTATATTTAGACAATATTGTTATAACAAAACAGATATAGCCATAAAAAAACAGTCCTACCAACAAATACAATATGCTCTCAACCTAAAGGACTAACAGAACAGAGTGGATGGCCAGTAATGGCAATTGTAGGGGTAAGAGTTTAGATTTCACATATTATTCTCTCCACTCTTGCTAAACTTTTAGTTGAAGGAGGCATATGATAACCACTGGAGCTCTGAATTCTTTGAGTGCTGAGTCCACAGATACACAGATAATTAACAATAAGGTTTTGCAGTACCAAACACAAAATTGTTCATTGTTAATACTTTTTCCCTCCAAACTTTATTATTATGGTGCTTGCAGCACGTCACTGCATCACGATGCAAAACATAGAAAGAAAATAGTTTTGATTCAAGTATTTTTAGAGTTAAGAGAATGCCTTGTGCAAGCATTAAATGCACAAGGGGCGTGACACCAATTTCCACAAAAATGACAATTTATCCATGTGGAAGCCTGTTTGTTTGATTTATTGCAGACTACACACAGCTTCATAATGATTTGAATGGTTGATTTACTGTAATTCTTTGTTTTTTCACTTTCATATTTACCAGGCAAAACAAATACAGTAGGACCCGTGTCCATGGAGTATACGCTCGAAGGACCTGCCATGGATACCAAAACCATGGATAGTAGCAAACCCTACATACAAGTCCTATACATACCTATTCTAAAATTTAATTGATAAATTATTCACAATAAGTGAAGAATAATCACTTTCACTGATAGGAAGCACTTCTCTTAGGCCGTGAAGAACTGTCAGCTTTTCTACTTTTGCACTTTGGGACCATTATTATGCAAAATTAAGAGGTATTTTTGGGCCACAGTAAACCATGTATAACTGAAAACAAGGATACAGAATTAGTGGATACGGGGGTCCTATTGTATTGCAGTAAAACAACTTAATACAGCTTGAGAGGATAACTTACTTTGAATGACTAATGACTGTGATTGCTGTAGTAAGGCGTTTCTCCATATCTGCCAGATGCTGAGGAGAGTAGATGTAGATTGAGCGATTGCCAATGAAGCCACTGCATGTAGCACCTCTATAAATCTGTAAATAAAGTTACTCTTTACAACCTACAATTTGATACAAATAAAATGTGAGTTGTGTCACATGCAAGTTAAAATATTTTATGAACATATTAATAAATATTTCATTTCCAGGAAGCAAGGGGCTTGTAACCCCTTCACCTGTATTAATTACTAAATATAAAAAAAAAACATTATGCCTCTTCTTTTTTTTGGGTCACCCTGCCTCAGTGGGAGATGGCGTGTGTTGGTGGGTGTGGATAAAAAATCCAGTAATATGTGACAATAGTTTAGGAATAATGTCATAGCAGTGTTTACCAATTAGTCAGAAGGTACAGTACTTTTATCAGTCAATTATCTATAAAATAATAACTGAAGTAATTCAAGTGTACCTGGTACTTTGGTATACAAAACTGACATTTTGCTTAGCATGCAATGCAGTTACATAATCTAACACATCATTTGCATTATGCTCTCTCTATAGATCCCATCAAGAAGAATTTAGTGTGAAATTTTAACAAAAGTACTATCAGATAAACTAATTAAAATAAAACTTTCAAAACAAATAACAAACGGGACTTCAGTGCTTCACCAACCTGGCAGTAGCCTTGCCCTTCATCCTTCTCAGGGCCAGGCAGGGGAAGTGGTAACACAGCTGGATAACCTCCAATGTTAGGAATATTCCCCACCCCAGGAATTCCTGGCACACCAGCTGGCAATCTGAAAATATCAAAAACATTATCATTGAAGAAAATCAATTTATAAACAATATTTCTACAGAATTAATGAGGTAAAAACAAGTAACCCACATTACAAATACTGTATTATGTTGTCTGCAGTGACATTTTACACAATTACTATTTTGTTAATTATACAAGATATTGTATAGCTATACAAATGACCAGACATCTGTAATAAAAAAAAAAATTATAAATCCATGTCCACAAAGAGACCATTCCACTTAGTGAACACATCAACAGTGCACTTAGCACACCACCAATGATCCCACTATTCTGCATTGTTTAGAAAGTCAAAACATTTTGTAAAATATATAATGTAGAGTATAATAACAATCAGGATACTGGTACAAGTGTTAATGTCAAAAAAAAAAAAAAATCTAACACTGAAAAACAAAGCATCATACACACTACAGTATACAGTACATTTTTATAAATTTCTTAGCCATGGAAATGGTCATGGTTGTTAAACTTCTCTTGATAAAAAAAAAAACTATAAATACACTTTGTCTATTTTCTCCACTGGATTAAAATGACTGGATTATACTACGTATATACCTTTTCTTGAAAATTCAAATATTACAGTAAAGCCTTTCAATTTTAACAATTCTAAAACAGTTTCACAATTTTCTGCATTAGTGCATTTATGTGCAGTAGCTACACTATGAATACATGTGAAACTTTTTTAACCCTTTGAGGGTCGACAGGCCCTCTCCGAGACTCGTTCTCAGGGTCGGCCAAATTTAAAAAAAAAAAAAATAATTTTTTCTTATGAAAAGATAGAGTATCTTTTCCCAATCATAATGACACCAAAAATATGAAATTTGATGGAAAACTTATGGAATTATGCTCTCGCGAAGTTAGCGGTCTCGGCGATGTTTACGGATCGGCGATTTTGCCCACTTTGAGCCCCATTTTCAGCCAGTTCCACTGTACTAGTCGACAAAAAACATGAATATTTCGCTAGAACTCCATATTTTCTATTGAATGAGTGCAAGAAACCACCCATTTACCAATTTCAACTATCCAGTTCAGTGGTCAGAATTTAGCAATTTTGCCAATTTCACACAAATTTCAAAAGATGCCAATTTCCGAATAGGGTCCAGAACAAACAAGAAATACATTCCTGGCACTAAAATGACATTTCCTCTGTTCATTAGTCACGTCTCAAGGCCCCTCTTACATTCTTTTGCTTTCCACTTTGAATTTTTATTCTCACAAAAAATAGAAGATTTACTGTTATGCAACTACTGCATTAGTGTAAAAAATGGTATGAATCATATTGGCGCACTTGCAAAAGAATATTAGACTCACCAGTTGACGTGTATTGGACGCTTGGCATGATTTGTTTACTTTTGAACTTTGGTAAAAATCGAACATTTCTGCTACTTTGAGCTCAATTTCAAGGTACTTTTCATTGTAAAACCAGTCAAAATCATCTCAATTTCTATGATATGCCATCCATTCTATAAAATGAGACCAAGAAAACTAGAATACAACAATAAATACCATACGAAAATACAGTGCAAAATCGCTGTTTTATTCCAAAAAAACGGTCAAAGTTTTTTTTTCTCATTATGCACTGTGTGCTGCAGGATTTTTTTTATACCGTGCACACTGACCACATAGACCCATTCTTTCATATGGAGGCCTACCAGCTTTCTCCCACTAGATTTGAGGGCGCTAGAATTTAGGCGTACTAGTACGTCAAAAACCCTGGGTTGTAAGCCGTACTACTACGTCCGAAACCCTCAAAAGAGCTAAATTATGCAAATTAACCTTCAGGTAAACAAATTACCAGAAATGCAGTGATTTATATTAAATATCAAAATTAACTGAACAGAATCTAATAATTTAAATTGCTTAACTAAATAGCATCACTATAATATTTGATACAATGATAAAAAAACAAAAAGGTAGTTATCTACTATTTCTTAGAACATTTATGATTACACAGTTTTTAAGAAAATTAAGTGCTATAGTACAAGAATAATTTTAGGATTACATATATAAATACTCAGTATGAATTAGATGTACACACTACAATACAGTTTACAAACTGTCATTGATTTATTATGAGGCTCAGGTTAGCGTGTGTAGAAGAGAGGGAGATTACTTCCCAGTGAAAGTAGGTCTTAGATAGGGATGTGTAATGTCACCATGGTTATTTAATATATTTATAGATGGGGTTGTAAAAGAAGTAAATGCTATGGTGTTCGGGAGAGGGGTGGGATAAATTATGAGGAATCAAATACATAATGGGAGTTGACACAGTTACTTTTTGCTGATGATACTGTGCTTATGAGAGATTCTAAAGAAAAGTTGCAAAGGTTAGTGGACGAATTTGGGAGGGTGTGTAAAGGTAGAAAGTTGAAAGTGAACATAGATAAGAGTAAGGTGATGAGGGTATCAAATGATTTAAATAAAGAAAAATTGCATATCACACTGGAGGAGGGAGTATGGAAGAATTGAATGTTTTCAGATGTTTGGGAGTTGATGTGTCAGCAGATGGGTTTATGAAGGATGAGGTTAACCATAGAACTGACAAAGGAAAAAAGGTGGGTGGTGCGTTCAGGTATCTATGGAGACAAAAAATGTTATCCATGGAGAGAGACAAAGAAGGAAATGTACGAAAGTATAATGGTACCAACACTCTTATATGGGTGTGAAGCTGGGTTTGTAAATGCTGCAGCGAGGAGGATGCTGGAGGCAGTGGAGATGTCCTGTCTAAGAGCAATGTGTGGTGTAAATAGTATGCAGAGAATTCAGTGTGTAGAAATTAGGTGGTGTGAAGTTACTAAAAGTACTAGTCAGAGGGTTGAAGAGGGGTTGTTGAGGTGGTTTGGTCATTTAGAGAGAATGGATCAAAGTAAAATGACTTAGCGTATAAATCTATAGGGAAAGGAAGGTGGGGTAGAGGTCATCCTCAAAAAGGTTGGAGGGAGGGGGTAAAGGAGGTTTTGTGGATGAGGGGCTTGGACTTCCAGCAAGCATGTATGAGCATGTTAGATAGGAGTGAATGGAGACGAATGGTTTTTGGGATCTGATGAGCTGTTGGAGTGCGAGCAGGGTAATATTTAGTGAAGGGATTCAGGGAAACCTGTTATTTTTATATAGCCGAACTTGAATACTGGAAATGGGAAGTACAATGCCTGCACTTTAAAGGAGGGGTTTGGGCTACTGGCAGTTTGGAGGGATCTGTTATATATCTTTACATGTGCTTCTAAACTGTCGTATCTGGGCGCCTCTGCAAAGACAGTGATTATGTGAGTGAGGTCAAAGTGTTGAATGATGTTGAAAGTACAGTGGACCCCCGCTTTACGATCAGCTCCCAATGCGACCAATTATGTAAGTGTATTTATGTAAGTGCGTTTGTACGTGTAAGTTTGGGGGTCTGAAATGGACTATCCTAATTCACAATATTCCTTATGGGAACAAATTCGTTCAGTAATGGCACCTGACATACTTCTGGAATGAAATAATATCGTAAACCGGGGGTCCACTGTTTTTATTTTGGGGATTTTCTTTCTTTTTGGGTCACCTCGCCTCGGAAGACGGCCCATTTGTTGAGGAAAAAAAAAAATGTTCACATGGAAGCACAAAATCTGTAGGGGTCATACAGAATCTGGGAAATGGGAAGCTGCCAAATTCATTCCAAGGAAAGAGAGCACTCCAATTCTTTGAATCAGCTCACTCCCCTCTTTGAAGGGGTTGTGGAGAAATTTACCTGCACAGGCTCAAATCTCCTACTGAGGCTTCATTAACATGCTTTTTAGTTTATTGAATTATCTTTAAATGTAAACAAAGTGCTTGAATCAGGGAGACCGAGTTTAACTTAAAATGCAAATACAAACACTTCATAAGGCTTCAGTTCATGAAGCCTTAAATACAGTGGAACCTTGGTATATGACCAGCTCCCTACTCGAACAAAGCTCAGCACTTGACCAAACAAATACGACTTGCCAGAACTTCACTGTAAACTATTTCGTGTTTCTTTGTATTTTTTTTTTTTTTTGTATTTGTATAAATAAGTCACTATGGGGGCCTACGATGATTAGTGACAACAGCCAACCAAACAGAAAATTGGTTGGGAAGAACTTGTTCGGTACTCAAACGTAGCAACACTCAGCCTTCTGGAATGAATTAAGGTCGCATACCGAGGTTCCACTGTAACATTCAATTTAGTCATTAAAATTATTGGAGAACACTAGCTCAGATCACCCCCACATCCCAGTCATCTGGCTGGGATATCAGAGGGCAGCAGCTGTGAACTAATATTGTGGAGGTGCAAGAGATTCAATCTCAGAATATTACATATAATACAAGCATGTGAACCTCTCTTCCAATATACCAGAAAGGTTGCATCTTTGTACTAGCTAGAAGTGACCATGTTTTTATCAGTATGGGCATTCACCTGGATTGTCATCAGCTCAATTATAAGTGGTGTTTTACCCAAAATAGGTAGGATTTTCCAACCTTAACTGTGTACCCTACTGGTTATATTACTACATATTAGCCTAGGGTACACCAGGCATTAATTATTAACCTAGCCTTTAGGTTATGGATTTCTCAGTCTAATTATGGGTAACAAGTCATCACAAAGTATGAAGATTAAACTCTCAGGCTCAATTTATAACTTTTTCATACACCAACACAATATTATAGTGTGTAGTATATGGCATTTTATTGGAAGACATCCACCAGGGACTTATATTCTCCAACAAAAATAAAACACACACACACACACACATGCAAATATTGGCATTCCGTAATAAGCTTTTTCAATTAACATACTATTTTACACAATTTTGCACGACTACAATTGTAAATTACTAGTATAACCCACAGTCCCTTATTTCTACTATGGGGGTGATGAAAAACTATTACGTAAATTTTATTATGTCACATTGACTTAATTGGGGTATCCAAGGATAAACCTACAAAATTTACAATATAAAAAAACCATAGTAAAAAATCACATTA